CAATATGTAATCCAACACTTAAATCAAAGATCAGTGGGGCATGTTTAAAAAAAAAAAAAAAAAAGTCATGTGTTAAATCACAAAGGGTAAGTGCCTGGGAAGAGGCGTAGGGAGGTAAAAGGGAAGATCACTTGCAAGGTGGAAGCTTTATCAGCCTCACAATCCTGCTAACTCCCAGCTGTGCTTTACCTGGATTTAGTCTAATCCATCATGTCACCCTGTGTCTCCCTTAACTCTCACAGTCCATACGAGAAACACTACAAAGCCATTTGACAGCAAACCCTATGGGACCATGCCACTTTCATGCACCACCCAGTGTGGGATACACATGCATTTTGTGAAATTATTCTGACATTTGGATTCTTTTAAAAAATAATTGCGCAGCCCAGTTTTTCATCCCACAATATTCAGAGAAGAAACTAACTTGATTCTTCCCTTCCACCTTCGAATTAAACCTAGTGATCAATGAACTACTGTTTTGTCAATCCTTCCTGGGTAATGTTCACACCATAATATTAAATTAGAAAAAGAAGACATCTAATTTCCCTCACCTATAAAAGTTATATGATCTTTCTGCTCATGTTCAATTTGCATCAGTCCATTGAGTCACAAGTGTTCCAACTTCAATGTAATCCTAATGTGTCATTATTACAGGAGCTCCTCGTTCGGAAGGAACAAGGTGTTCCGCCTAAGAGGAGTCCCAGATAACTCAGGTTCGCTATTTGAGCACATGAGCACAGGAACTGTAGTGTGTTATTTAGATGCAGATATCCTTACATTTATATAAATGCACATTTTTCTACCTAAATATGTAGCCTGCGTTGTCTTTGGGGGAAAATCAGCTCTTTGTGTCTCATAATTGCCATGACAAGTGGCACTTCCATTCATCATAAAATCACTTATTCCATAAGTGGAGTTCTTCCAGGAACAGGACATTCAATGTCATCAGATAAGGAGACAGGCTGAAATGTCCTGAGGTTCACAGGCTGAGACGTTCTGAGGTTCAGGGGTTATTCTACTCCTGCTGAACTCAGGGTCCCAGGCCCCACTGGCCAGTGGATGGAGTGAGCCCTGGGCAGAGTCTTACCCCTCAGGATGGTGGCCTGCTCCCTGAACTCAGAGAAAAGCCTGATAGTTATTCTCCCATCTCTCTCACAGCCTTTGCTGTTCCTCTAGCCTCAATCTCGTGACGCTAACTTCTAAGTGCCCAATCTTTCTGTTCCCTAAATTCTCAACATGTACACTGACATCTCATCTCTTCTTGATGGTCACTTTGTTGCCCAGCCGACAGCCTAGGCTGCCTTGGCTCAGAGGCCCAACACTGATCCCATCAGCTAGGGAAGGGCTAGGAAGGGGCAATGGCTGGTCCTCATAAGGCTGCTCCCTTGGCAATGAAGCAGGTTCACTTAAAAGAGGATGAGACACCACTAGTGACATATTCCCACCAGGGGCTGCAAGAACAGTCCCGCAGTTCTAACTGGCAGTTCCTCCCTTCCACCAGAGGAAGCATCACTGTGTTAGCTCCAGTTAATCCTCTGGGACCTGACAGACGGCCGCCTTCTCCTCTGAGCATCCACGCTTCCTGGCTGGATTCTGATACAGTTTGTGTTCTTCATCCATCACCTTTGCCAGTGGATACTTTGTTAGGCAATACTTTGTTAGAGTGAAAAATTGCCACACTCCCTCATGTTTGGAGGGACGCTGGGTTTAGCTGGAGTTATGTGATACACTTTTATTGCCAAAGGTCGCTTTAGTGCTGCACAGACCTGCCGTGGAGCTCTCCCGGAAGGATGCAGGTGGCCCTGCTCAGCCTGGAAAATGCCTCGCGGCTCAGGGTCGTTTTACGACTCCATGCTGCCTGCAGATGGATCCTTTACAACATCCCCACCAAGGGGCTGTCCAGCCTCTGCTCCACGTGTCCAGGAAAAAGGAACTACGCCCAAAGGCAGCATACCCTAACCTTAATGACTTTGTTAACACTGTACTTTGCATTGAGCTTAAACTTCGCATCCCTTCAACATCCACCCAACAACCCTAGTTTGCTCCCCAAAGCCGATCAAACAGGTTTACTTCTAGGGAGCAACTGAGTGTAACAGAAACCTGGTGTTTCTGTGTCTGGCTGGGATTCTGAGCAAGTTTACAACTACCCCTGGGTTTAAAAAAAAAAAAAAAAAAGGAAGACAGAGCTGTGTCCTTGAGGCAGAGAAGGGTACTCAGTGCATGCACACCCCTGGCACAGTCACGTCCACTACCCTCCTTTCCTCTGCATGGCAACCTGTAAATATGTGAAAATATCTGTCATGCTGCCTCCAAACAGTCTCTCGTCCACAGTAAACATCCACAGGCTCTTTAATCCCGCCACCTAGGATGTTTTCAAGGCACCGGCCATAGAGAATGTATTTCTGTTGGTCAGTGCAGCTTCTGTTCCTTTTTCTATTTCTAGTTTTTTATATCATCCATTCTGAAACACTGTTTAGGGACAGACCATACCAAAGGCATCCCCGTGTGCACCAGGAAGGGGAGGCTCAGAGGAGACCCCGCCCACGAAGACCTCCCTATGGAGGGATGGTGCCAACTGTACCCGCAGGTGCCACCCACAGGGACAGTGAAACTTCTGGAGCCTGTTTTGCCGACCAGCTGGACTGTCCCGCTAGGGATATGGTCGGCCTCTTCCTGGCCATCCCACTGGAGAGTCCTCCGGAAGTATGGCTCCCTCCACTTCGTTCCTAATGAGGGCTAAGGAGATGTTCGATAGAGCTGGGAGAAGAGTGGATGGTGTCAGGGCTCGGGACTGGGGGTGACTCTTCTAAGTTACCAGCTCCTATACTTGGTAACCGTATCTGCCAAGAAGGGCAGTCTGAAGGTGACCTTGGTTTCCCTAATTCCTTTCCAATACTGAGAAATAGTCTCTTCCCATATAAAACTCCCTGTGGTGTGAGGATATGGCTGAGGCTATGCTGTACCCCTAAGAACAGGACACCCCCCTGGGGTGACTGGTGTTCCTCAGGGGCCATCTGATCACCTGGGAAGTCTGGTCCAAATGCACAGCCCTCTTGACTTGGTATAGTTCCCCCAAACACCACTCCTAGGAGCTACTCTGTGAGTGGGGCTCCCTGCCCCTGGGAAGTCTCCATCCCTCGCATGCTCCAGATGCAACTTCTGTCCTCCCCAGATGGGGAGAGTGCCCTCATCGTGCCTGCACTGCAGACTGTGGGATCCCCTTGCCCCAGATCAGCCTTACAATCCCCTTCCTCCTTCAGGATGATGTAGGGTGCATATAACACAGCATCCATGTATAAGCAGTTTAGAACAACACGTGCTGATTACTTCACTTAAAGAGATGCCTTGCAGTAAGAGGCACAGGGTCAGTGCAACAGCTCAGCGGCGTCCCCAAGACCCAGGATTGTTCCATGTGTCTGCTCCACCAGCCTCAGCATCTTGGCTTCCATCTTCACTTTTCCCCTCATGGTTACAGAGTGGCCGCTAAAGCTCTAGGCATTACCGTCTTAAATAGCGTGTTCAAAAATAAGGATGCTTGTTCCTCACGTAACTCTATTAGCAACAAAAGCCTTTCCCAAAGCTCCTAGCAGTCTTCCCTCAAAATCCATTCGTGGGAACCAGGTCACATGCCCACAGCCCACCCTAACACCCATGGCAAAGGGGAATGGAATTGTGTAATTGATAGGGCCCCTATTCCCTGAGCACAATGATCCTGACACCTGAAAATCGGAGGGCTCTGCTAGCAAGACAGAGGTGGGGGTAGGAGGCAGGCAGTATCTGCACACCTTCTTCCAGGCCCCTAGCATCCCTGCTCCAGGAGAGGTGAGCTGGGCCAGAGGCCTGCAGACGCCACTGCACAGCCAGGTGAGAACAGATCCATTGTGGTCCAGATGACCTCAGCATGTTAATGAAGGGCTGGTCACATATAGGGCCCCAAGGGTACTTCTTGTTCTTCTGTTTGTTGACTTAAGTAGACTCCTGAAGTATGCTCTGCAATAACTACAATGTTTTTCCCAGAATGTGCTCAGCCAGGGATAAGCTGAGAAATAAATGCAACAGCACAAGCTCGGAAGACTCCTGAACTTCAGAACACTTATTCTTCACAGCCAGGTCTTCCATACCTTTGGCCACTGGGGAAAGTGCTTTGGCAGGGGAAGGGAGTACAGCTGCATGGTTTAAATGCCGAAAATTTTGCCTTTTTTCTATTCTGTTGAGCTGTAACCTGTCACGGTGTATACTACCTCCCAGCAATGGTGAACGTAGTTTATCTGGAAGAAAGTCTCGTTTCGTAACTCTTTTAAACTTGATCTCACATGCACTTAATGGAGCTAAGCATCTGAGGGAGTCTGAACACCAGAACTGACCGAGGGCCTGAGGAGTCCACGTAAGACACCTGGGGAGCACAGGGTTACAATCCTGGGGGCCAAGCTTTTGGAGGAAGATGCATTCAGATGGGAGTTTGCTTAAGCCATCAGCCCAAGTGTTGACGGAAATCCTCATTTCTGTTTATCACAGGTACTGTTAGGCTACATCCCCCCTAAACTATAGTTCTTTTATTTTCAATTTCATTGAGTTAGCATTGGCCCCTGGTTCCCATCCGTGCGTGCATTTATAAATCCTACTGCCGACAGTGAACTTAGCAGCTCTCATTTTCTGATTTGTGTCATGTACAAATTTGATCAATGTCCTTAACCTAATAACTGATAAAATTCAAATCAGCCAGTTAGAGAAGCCACACTAACCTCTGCAGGAGAATCCCTATTGTACAGTTTACTTAACAAGCCACAATTTCAAAGAGCAATTAAATATCCTGCAGACTCCATGAATCACAACACTTCAATGAAACAGTCCACTTGAGGCTGCGAGACAAGCATCATCTAATTCTTGTGAAAATAATGGAGATACTCCAAAAATGCTAAGTTATTAGTAACTCTGCACATACCTTGATGCCTGTGTTAGTCCATTTTCATGCTGCTGATAAAAATGTACCTGAGACTGGGCAACTTACAAAAGAAAGAGGTTTAATTGGACTTACAGTTCCACATGGCTGGGGAAGCCTCACAATCATGGTGGAAGGCAAGGAGGTGCAAGTCACATCTTACATGGATGGCGGCAAGAAAAGAGAGAGCTTGTGCAGGAAACTCCGCCTTGTAATAACCATCAGATCTCATGAGACTTACTCATTATAATAGGAATAGCATGGGAAAGACCTGCCCCCATGATTCCATTACTTCCAACTGGGTCCCTCCCTCATCATATGAGAATTCAAGATGAGATCTGGGTGGGGACACAGCCAAACCACTCCAGCCCCTCCCAAACCTCATGTCCTCACATTTAAAAACCAATCATGCCTTCCCAACAGTCCCCCAAAGTCTTAACTCATTTCAGAATTAACTCAAAGGTCCACAGTCCAAAGTCTCATCCAAGACAATGCAAGCCCCTTCCACCTATGAGCCTGCAAAATCAAAAGCAAGTTAGTTACTTCCTAGATACAATGGGGGTACAGGAATTGGATAAATACAGCCATTCCAAATGGGAGACATTGGCCAAAATAAAGGGGCCACAGGCCCCATGCAAGTCCAAAATCCAGCAGGGCAGTCAACTCTTAAAACTCCAAAATGATCTCCTTTGACTCCATGTCTCATATCCCGGTCATGCTGATGCGAAAGTGGGTTCCCATGGTCTTGGGCAGCTCCACCCCTGTGACTTTGCAGGGTACACCCTGCCTCCTGGCTGCTTTCACCAGCTGGTGTTGAGTGTCAGTGGCTTTTCCAGGTGCACAGTGCAAGCTGTCAGTGGATCTACCATTCTGGGGTTGGCCCTCTTCTCACAGCTCTACTAGGTGGTGCCCCAGTTAGGGACTCTGTGTGGGGGCTCCGATCCCACATTTCCCTCCCACACTGCCCTACCAGAGGTTCTCCATGAGGATCCACCCCGAAACAAGATTTTGCCCGGGCCTCCAGGCATCTCCATACACCTTCTGAAATCTAGGCAAAGGTTCCTAAACCTAAATTCCTGACTTCTGTGCACCCACAGGGTCAATATCACGTGGAAGTTGCCAAGGCTTGGGGTTTCTACCCTCTGAAGCAACAGCCCGAGCTGTACCTTGTCCCCTGTTAGTCATGGCTGGAAACGGCTGGGATGCAGGATACCGAATCCCTAGACTACACACAGCACCGGGACCCTGGGCCTAGACCATGAAACCGTTTTCTCCTAGGCCTCCAGGCCTGTGATAGGAGGGGCTACCATGAAGACCTCTGACATGCCCTGGAGACATTTTCCCCATTGTCTTGGGGATAAACATTCAGCTCCTCCTTACTTATGCTAATTTATGCAGCCAGCTTCAATTTCCCCTCAGAAAATGTGTTTTTCTTTTCTTTGCAGCATTGTCAGGCTGCAAACTTTCTAAATTTTTATGCTCTGCTTCCCTCATAACACTGAGCCCCTTTAACAGCACCCGAGTCACCTTGGGAATGCTTTGCTGCTTAATTTCTTCGGCCAGATACCCTAAACCATCTTTCTCAGTTCAAAGTTCCACAAATCTCTAGGGCAGGGGCGAAATGTCACCAGTCTCTTTGCTAAAACATAACAAGAGTCACCTTTGCTTCAGTTCCCAACAAGTTTCGCATCTCCATCTGAGACCACCTCAGCCTGGACCTTATTGTCCATATCACTATCAGGCTTTTGGTCAAAACCATTCAACAAGCTTCAAGGAAGTTCCAAACTTTCCCACACTTTCCTGTCTTCTTCTGAGCCCTCAAACTGTTCCAACCTCTGCCTGTTATCCAGTTCCAAAGTTGCTTCCACATTTTGGGGTATCTTTTCAGCAACATAACACTCCTGGTACCATTTACTATATTAGTCCGTTTTCAAGCTACTGGTAAAAAGACTGGGCAATTTACAAAAGAAAAAGCTTTAACTGGACTTACAGTTCCACGTGGCTGGAACATCTTACATGGATGGTAGCAGGCAAAAAGAATTTGTGCAGGAAAACTCCCCCTTATAATAACCATCAGATCTCATGACACTTACTAACACAAGACAGCCCAAGAAAGACCTGCCTTTAAGATGCAATTACCTCCCACCAGGTCCTTCCCACAACACATGAGAATTCAAGATGAGATTTGGGTGGGAACACAGCCAAACCACACTAAGCCTCTATAAATCCACCAGGAACACTTCCAGAAATTGCTGAACACCTCCAAGGCTCCACGGAACCCTCCCCTACTCATATCTTCATGGCAAGGAGCTACCATGGATCCCCCTCTGAGTGTGCCCAGACCAATTACAGGACTAGCAACAATGGAAGGCGACTGAGAGGCGCAGAGCAAGAGGTGCCCTCCCACCAAAGCCCCCGCCACAGAAAGAACTCATTCGTCATAAGGAAACTGGAGCTAGTGTTAAAGGGATAGCTGGTAGCTGCCAAAAACCTGGCTGAAGTCCACAACATCCAGCCCCTCATCTCAGACTCACACAGGTGCTCTCTACACCATCACTGTTTATTTCTTTAAGAGAACTCCACACACACTAAGATTCACTTGCTTATCTCTTCGTCTCTCCTTTCCAGAATAGGAATTCAATGAGGTCAGGGGCTTTGTGTGTCTATTCACTGCTTCTTCCACACTAGATACCGAACACCTATTTGTTGAATGAATGAATGAATGTGTCCCCAGATGGTTCTCTTTAAATGAAAATTATCAAACCGACCATATTTTTATCAGTTTAAAGATGCAATCATCTTACTTCATTACATCTCCATTAAGACAGTTTGATACTTTGCTTACAGGTGTATGACTGGGAGTTCAATTCTTTTCTGTGATAAGCACAAATTATTCAAACTACCACTCAATATTCACTTTACAGATATAGGAAGCTTGTCTACTCATGTTCAAAGGTTTTCGTTAATTCCTCTTTTATCTAAATCAGTCAAGTCTCTTCTCCTAAATGAGAAATATTAAATAAGTGGCAGCTCTCAAGAAACAAAAAAGTGACTATCAGAAAAAGCTTCTGTGAATAAGCATTTTCTCAGTGTCTAAAATAACAAACGCCATTTATGAAGCAAAGACTAGGTGCCATGAGTTTCACAAACTGGTCCCCCATCCACTGTTATGTGTACCATTATCCCAGTGGCAGGGACACACAGGAAGCCAAGGCTCACAGGCAGTAAGTCACGGTTCGAGGGCCTCTTGCCTATGACAAAACAGGAATCTGAATTCAGGTCGGGCTTACATTTACACATACATGTATACAAATGTACATGTATACATCTTAGATGCACTAAAATACTGGAATCTGGGGGTGGAACAAATTATTTCTAATAAATGTTACAAAATGTAAACACCTCTCTGAATCCTTTAGACAATTAATTTTGAAGTACAAAAAGGAAAGAGATAAAACTTAAGTATGAACAAAGTCATAGGACACTGCAAACATTTGGTAATATACACTGTCTTTACAAATCATTTCCCTTATGGTGGCACGAAGCCATGTCGTTTATAATGTGAAGAGCTTTTGACATCTTTTCTACCCATAAGTATGACCATCACTTACTCAAATTTTCATGCATCCAGGAGCAGGAAAAGGCAGTAAATACATTTTTTAAGAAAAAAGAAGGCATCAAAAGCGGATTTTAAATCTACCTGTTTTCCTTCTGTTTGTTTTCTCCAAAAGCTATGGAAAGTAATAGTAATTTCTCATTCCAAACCAAAGACAACTGTGCTCCTTTGCTAAAAATACAGCTGTAAGTCTCTACCAGATCAGGAAGATGACCGACATTTCAGAAAAGCACTCTCAGTAAAGTTTATGCCTGAATGGCCGGCTGGAAGGGCATGGATGTTCAGGGCCTCGTTTCACGGCCTCTAAAAGTGCTCGCGTCATACGCCCACACCGTATCTATCCCTTCCCCCGTGACATGGTCCGGGGTCCAGTGTGGGAAAGGGAACCGGCAAGCAATGACTCTTGCATCATCCTCAAGTTCAAGTTCAAGTTTCTTCTCCAACTGCAGCATCTGTGGAGAGTAACAGCTGTTATTGTAGGGAGCAGTGAGTCTGAGTAAATGATCCCAAAAGGTTCTTCTGTATTTAAGAATCCCTGAAAATACCTGAGCAAAAATTGCTACCTGTGAAAAAAGAGCACTCTGGGACACACACACATGAACAAACAATCCGCTAAAATACAGAAGATACACTGGCAGCAGTTGTAAGAACATCTTCTAGTATTAATTATAAAATGTGCCATTTTTGGCAGATGTCTATCATAGATTTATAGTTTTCTGAATAAAATCAGAATGTGGCAGTAATTATATTAAGAAGCAGTTTTAAATAAGTTACGTCAACGCTTCAATTTACCTAGTCTTACATATTTAAGACATGATTTTTCCACTTTTTTTTAAAGAGATGGGGGTCTTGCTATGTTGGCCAGGCTGGTCTCAAACTCCTGGGCTCAAACAATCTGCTCATATCAGCCTCCCAGAGTGCTGTGATAACAGGCATGAGCCACGGCACCCAGCTACATTTTCCACATTTTTAGCGTCTCTGAAATCAGGACACATTACACAACTGACATTGTCTTAGAATTATAATTGGCAATTTTTTTCTGTTTCTCAATAGCAACAGTGCATTCTAAAATCAACATTTACAGTCAATGAAGTGTGGTATAGTTAGACCACAAAAAAAATACACAATTCTACCAACTGGAAATATCATGAAATATTTCATAATTTTTAAAAATGTATCCATAACATACTGATAATGAATTTCTTGATCGTATAACTCACATCACTGTTTTATCATTTTATTATCAATCTACTGATAGTTTTTATTATTTGCTAAAAGTATTGATATTTTAATTACATCAACAAATTAACAACTACTTAAAAATTGATCTGCAGATCCTAAAAATATATTACTACCTTTACCACCTTCACTTCCTAAAAATACTTTTTTTTCTACTTTCTTCTTTCAACTTGTTATTTGGGGATAATTTCAAACTTCCAGAAAAGTTGCAATAATAGAAAAAAGAACTCCTTTGAGACAAGGTCCATAGCCCAGGCTGGAGTGCACTGGTGCAATCCTGGCTCAATGCAACCTCTGCCTCCTGGATTCAAACCATCCTCCCACCTCAACCTCCTAATTTTGTAGAGATGGGGTTTTGCCATGTTGTCGGGGCTGGTCCCGAACTCATGAGTTCAAGCCATCTGCCCTCCTCAGCCTCTCCAAGTGTTGGGTTACAGGTGTGAACCACTGCACCTGGCCTATCGGTTTACCAATTTTCAACATTTTGTCACATTTGTTCTCTTCCTGTCTCTTTGAACATTTTTTCCCTAAACCATTGGAGAAAAGGTTGCATACGATACGCTCCTTTACCCCCTTCATACTTCAATGTGTATTTTCTAAGAAAAATATTTTCATACATAATCCCAGCACAGTTATATTCGGAAACTTTAACATTGTATTCCAATATAATAATTCCAGTCACACTGCAATTCTGTCATTGTTTCAGTAATGGTCTGTATAACATTTCCCAAGGGCAGGGTCCAGTCCAGAATCACTTTTGCATTTAGCCATAACATTTCTTTGGTCTCCTTAGATGGAAAACAGTTCCTCAATCTTTCTTTGGCTTCTGTGACAATAACATTCTTCAGTTACCGTATGGAGTGGCCCTGGCGTGGGTCCTCTGATGCATGCTCATGCATGGTGCAGCATGTGGTATTTGGCAACACTCCACCTGTGAGGCTGTAACTTACCAGGGCTCCGCAGACACGCAGGAAGCCCTTCTGCTCTTGATGATGATGGGATTAACCATGCAGTGAAGGTGGGATACGGTGTCTCCACTGTGCACTTGCTGTTTTTCCTTTTATAATGAGTAGTTTATACACATTCATGGAGAGATGCTTTGAGATGATGTAAACATCCTGCTACTCAACAGACAGCCCCCACACTTGAAGCAGCACTCATGGACAATTCTGGCCTGCATCGATCCGCTAATTCTGTCCTTTCTTCTACACGTACAGTCAGCACTCTACCACAAGGAAGGGCTTTCCCTTCACCCACTCTCCCTCTCTCTCTCCTTATCTACTGATCTGTTATAAGGACAAACACCTATATTCTTATTTCATTTGATGGGTTATAATCCATTACTGTCCTTGTGTATTCAAATGCTCAAACTGTCCTAATTTGGCCACTGGGAGGCTCCTGCCACTGGCTTCTCTGTCCTTTGGACATGCTGCCATCAAACACTGTGAGCACTTCCTTACATTCTGGCTCAACAAAATGTTCATGGCTTTTTATCTTCCCTTCCCCAGCCCTGATTCAGCCATTTCCTCAAAGATTCCTGGTTCCCCTTAGTGAGAGGTGATATTTAGAAACCAAGATCTAAGCAAAAATTACTCCTCTAAAAAGCAACAGGTTAAAGCAAGATGAAATTGATAAGCTTCTATGATGGTTTTATTCCTGACATGTATCTTATAAACGTGCTTAGAAAAATCTCTGCTACATGACCTATGGCTGGAATTAACCAAAATTCTAATGCTTCATTAGAATCAATGCCAAGATAACACAGAATAAATTCTATTAAGGATGGAGGGATTTCTATTCTTTAAACAGCCAGAATAGAATTTTTAAAAAAAGTTTTGTTCCTTGAGGGAAAAATTAAATAAGCAAAGAATGAAACAATATGCGTTTTTCCAAAATATCAGAGATTTCTTATGGTAATTTTGTTCATAAAAAGGATAATTGTAAACTTATTCATGATGCTATTATTCTTTTCTCTTTTACAGTTTCTTTTATTTCCAAATGATTGTCATATGCTAAGTCAAGATAAACCTAAAAATGAAAGGCACTATTTCCATCATAAGAAATTAACTGACTAAATTACACATAAATATGCAATAAATCTGGTGCTTGATATCATACACAAAGAGAAGCCGTGATGTGTCATGTCTGCCTAATGGAATTCAAAACTATTCATGCAATTATAGGTTCAAAGTGACATGAATTCATCCTATTCTAATTATGTCTTCGAAACTCTAAACACAGGTAGAAAACAGCTCAAATGAATAAGAAAACCCAGCCCTGCCACACATACCCCCCGCCTCCCAGGAAGCAGCTACACTGGGCTGCCAGGGCAACTCGCTCCTGGCACTTCCTCCTCCCCAGGTTCCCCTTCTCTGAGTCCCACTGGTTGCCCCTCATTTCCCAGACGTCTAATTCCAAGGTCCCTCATGCTCCCCAGGGAATCTCAGCTACTCCCAGGCTCCAACACACTCTATGCGCTGATGCCCGACAGACCTACATCTCCAGCCCACCCTCTGGCCTGAACCCCAGACTCCTTTTCACCCATCACTGCCAGCCTGACTTCATGCACACCCACACTTCACATGCCCATGCTGACTTTCCCAGCCAGCTCTGCCTGCACCTTCCCCAGCGTAGTTCAAGGCAATCCTGAGCGTGTGGCAGGACAGCCCAGTGGTTGAAGGTGCTAGACACAAGCTTCCACTTCCCAAGGCAACTCCAAACTTCCGGTAGCTAAGACCTACACCCTGGGGCTGCCCGTGACCCCTCCTTCGTCTCTCTCCCAGACATTAGAGCTGCCAGCTAATCCTGTGGATTCTGTCTTCAAATGCACACAGAATTTGACGCTTCTCACCAGCTATTCCACGGCCTGGACACCTACAAGAGCTTATAACCTGCCTCCCAGCTTATACCCACGCCCATCTCCACATGGCAGCCTGTGACCCTTCTCAAGCCCAGTCAGCCCTGCATTCCTCTCTGCTCACTCAAGGCTCCTGCCCTTCCAAGGGCTGGTGTCCTTCCCATCCTGCTTCCTCTCTGACCTCCCAACACACACTCATGTCACACCTGCCTGCTTGCCGCACTGTCCCCCACCCTGCCCAGGGCGCTCTTCTCTGCACGCACCCTCCCTACTGTCAAAGGTCACCTTTGCAGGGATCCTGTCCCTGCCCCATCCCGCCTTGCTTTGCTTTGCTCCACAGCACTTTTGATTCTGCTGTATGATGCATTGTCTACAGGTGTCTCACACAATATCTTCTCTCCCCACTAGCATATCAGCACCTGGGGCAGGGGTGTTTTCTCTGGTACTCACTGAAGTATTCCAAGTGATTAGAACAGGGCTTGCTATAGTGCCCACACTTGTCAAATTAACGAAGGAAGAAAGGAAGAAAAAGTGATTCAGCCATGAATGATTTTTCCTTACTACAACATAATGATAATATTTTTGTTCATTAATTCATAACAGCCAAGCATGGTGCTTCCCGCCTGTAATCCCAACACTTTGGGAGTCTGCAGCAGGAGGACTGCTTGAGCCCAGGAGTTTGAGACCAGCCTGGGCAACAGAGTGAGATTCTGCCTCTAGAAAAAATTAAACGATTAGCCAGATATGGTGGCACACACATGCCTGTATTCCCAGCTACCTGGGAGCCCAAGAGGCTGACGCTGCAGTGAGCCAAGATCACGTGCCGCTGCGCTGTAGCCTGGGCAACAGTGTGAGACTCTGTCTCAAAAAAAGAAAATAAATCATCACAGAATTTGTAACTAAAATTAAATTAGCCATTCTTCGAAGTTATGAAAGTAGATAGCATTCTGGGAAAAGTGAAAGTAACGGTGAAATTCTAAGTATTTACTTAGAATACATTCATTCATTCTGCAACTGTTTACCGAGTGATGCCTGTGCGAGTCCTGCAGTGCTGGAGGCCTGGTCCCTGCCTCTGAGCTGATGGTGTAGCGCACACAGCAAGCACTGTCAAAGACTTCAGGCCAAGAAATGCACAATAACACATCTAAGGACAGGGCAACAAGGTACTATATGAGTGCAAAGCGGGCCACTGGAGCTGTCCTCATCAGGCATCAAGGACTGCCGCACAGAGGAAAAGACAGCTGGCCCATGAGTGGTCAGTGCTATTCACCAGTGGAGTCCGGAGCCAAGGGGACCACAGTCAGAGGGAAGGACACAGCCCCAGGCTCTGGGAAGAGCAGCAATGGCAAGGTCCAGGGGGACAAGAGGACAGAGGGCTGGTGCAGACAGCTGAAGGCAGCATGGCCCATGGGAGGATGAAGGGGCACAGGGGTCACTGCACACCAGCCTGAGGGCCACACTGAGTGTTTGGGCCTTATCCTTAAAAACAGCAAGTCAGAGAAGGGTTTTACACAGAACAAGGTTGATCTGCTCTGCACTTTGAAAAGATGCTCTCAGTGCATAAGCTCGTGTTAAACGTGGATGTTTACCACCCCAGGGCTGGCTTGACCAGTTCCAAGTGGGATTCCTGCTCCTTTTCCATTAGATACACACTTGTGTGGAACTGCTAGGGCACCTCTGATGTTAAGCTACAACTGCACAGAGCTGTTAGGGATCATCAGTCTGGCATGAGAAGCAGGGGTTAGGGTTTACAGCCCCAAGGATTCCTGCTCTGGACCTCACCAAAGCTCCCTGGCTCTCTGAGTATCTCCCTGGGCATCAGCTGCCACAGGAATGCCTCATGGCATGCTGGCTTTGTGGAGTCACCCAGCCACGGCTGGCATGGTCAACTGGCACAGCACACTCTCCCTCCCCTCATGGCCTCCACTGAGACACAGCTTGATGAAGGCTGAAAGTGGAGCCCTCCACGCACAAAACTCAGCCTTCCAAACAAACAGAAGCCACTCTGGCCTCCGCACCCCTGACTGACCCACCAGCGTGGAATCTGCAAGCTGGCCACATCTCTGTTATTACAGGGAACATGGACACTTTGTGTCTTTCAGCTGCTCCCTTTTTCCTTGGGAATGGTGAAATGCTACACATTCCTTATTTCAGATTTCTCTCATACAGAAGAATGGACATTAATCGCTAAAGCGTTCATAAATAAGAAGACTCTGATTTCCCCTGACGGAACAGCTCCAAAAAGTGAATCAGCCTACTCCAAACAAGGTAAGAAGCACCCAGAACTGGCTCCACAGATCCTGGAGTGACGATGACTACCGAAGGCCACTGCTGCCCCCCGCTGGGACAAGTAATCCTGGTTTCATCAACCTGCCTTTCACACAGCATGGAATTTCCACTACATGCTAACTTTCTATTTTTATAAAGCACAGATTCAAATTAAAGTTACTTGTCTCCAAAAAGCAAACTATTCCATTTTAGAAGGAAAGCCCAAACATCACAGGTAGCAAATCACCATCTAAATTACATATCAATCTACGATCCCAATTAGTTTTCTAAAAATTACCAGGGAGGGAGCATCACACACTGGGGGCAGTTGGTGGGGGTAGGGGAAAGACAGAGGAGGGTGGGGAGGGAGGAGAGGAATCATGTGGGGAGAAATGCCAGATACAGTATGCACCTAAAGTTAAATAAATAAATTTTCAAAATAACCAGGGAGTGTGCCCATCTACCTCATTTCACTTCGGTAAGGAAAGATCGGATACCAAAGTTTGGTCTCAGTTTTAGGCCTAATGAGAATTATCAATGTACAGGATACTGTCACTTTCAAGAATATTTTATAAGGCCAGGCACAGCAGCTCACACCTGTAATCCTCGCACTTTGGGAGGCCAAAGCCAGCAAACTGCTGGAGGTCACGAGTTCAAGATCAGCCTGGCCAACGTGATGAAACCCCATCTCTACTAAAAATATAAAAATGAGCTGGGTATGGTAGCACATACCTATACTCCCAGCTACTCAGGAGGCTGAGGCAGGAGAACTGCTTGAACCCAGGACGTAGAGGTTGCAGAGAGCTGAGATCATGCCACTGCACTCTAGCCTCGGCAACAGAGCAAGACCCTGTCTCAAGAAAAAAAAAAATTTTTTTTTTACAAAAGCATTTCTAAATAATCTTTTAAAATTAAAGCATATGGCGTGGCAGTGAAGGTCTTAGTGGTAGAAATAAATTTATCAAGCACTGAAATGTCTTATACAAAAATTCGGGTATTAATAAAAAAACAAAATAAAAAAGTAAATTGCCTTTAAAAAAAATGAAAACCATATCAGCTATACTGCAGCATTTTAGCAAATATCCAATTCTGCCTATTTGATTATAGCTAAAATAACAGACTTTGAAAAGTGAAAAGGGATTTCTTTCCATGGTCTGTGCAGCCGCAATCACAGTAAAAGCTTCCCACCACGACCATCCTTTCAAGGGCTAAGGAGGGCCATTTCCAATACAATACTGCAGCATTTTCGCTTTTGACAGTTCATAACCAAAGTTCAATATGCCATTCTTTGACAAATCAGTAAACTGAGGTAAACTGAAACTACTCAATGCTCGTCCACCCAGAAAATTATCTTCCTGCCAAATGGGAGGAATGATCAATTCAGAGGGAACATCCCATTAACTTTCCCGAGCGATTTCAGCCAAGCGGAGGTGAGCCGCTGTGAAAACTGCACACTGCATTAGACGCTGGGACCTAATAAAGCAGTTTCCAAATTGGAATTTTTAAGGCACTGAGAATTTCATCTGAAGCCAAAGTTTAAAAATGTGACTGAATTTTGTATGATTAAGCTTCTAAGACTCTGATATTTTATTAACTCAATGAACTGAAATCCAGTGTTCCCTAAGACCTCCGGGAGGCCACGACCGCACACGGTGAGTGATGGCAGTGCGGCTGGAAGGGCCTCCAACATCCCCTAACTGGCCCAGACAGAGAGCAGGAAAGTGCGTACTCACCATCTGAGGCACGCCGAAAACAACAACGTTGGAGTACTGCGAAAGAGTGACCTAAACAGGGGGGAAGCGATCAGTAGATGAAGCGTTAAAAAAAAAAAAAAACAAACGTTAAGCTTAACTCGTTTCACAGAAATGGGTAGCAGTTTTCCATTGTACCAAACGGTGGGTTTTGACAAATTCCTAAAAAGGGTGGTCATCCTTAAGATTTCACAAGGAAAGAACACATTCATGCTTTCATTCATTGTACTTCAATCCATTGGTTTCCAAATGCTTCCCTTTAAGTCATCCCATCTCATCCTCATGGTGACTCCATGCAGGGCACGCCCCAGTGGTCATGTGTCAGACAGCTAACGACCCCACTGTGACCAGGTGGTGGCCAAGCCAGTGGCACCAGAGCCACACGCACCAGTCCACTCTACACCAAACCAGCTTCACCAGAACTCAAGAGACTTCACAACCATCCATCTGTTTTTTGTTGAATCATCCTGAAAATTCAAGTCCCCCTCCTCATCTCTAAAAAACTATGTAAAAAAAGTGCAATAAAATGCTCTCTAGTTGAAAAACTGGGGGGAAACGTGCTTTGCCAGTTAAAATTCTTATTGCCCAATAAAAGTCTTCTTTACTCTATAGAGAGATCGTTTATGCACATATGGTATAAGAAAACAATGCAAGCAAAACTCAAGTGAATCTTTGTAAGCTACTGATGACAATATTACAGTGGAAAATTCTTATTTAAGAAAAAGCATTTCATGGAACAATCCTAAAGCAAAATTACAGGGCATTTTTAGAGTACAGATAAATTTGAAAGTATCTTATACTTTATGAGGATAAGAAATAACCATGACAGCAGAATTCTCTAACACCCATCTCTGTATCTCTCTAAATATACAAACATACACACACACACGGGCACATGGGCACACAAACAGAAAGCCTAATATTTATCAATAATAATTTATAGGATTTCCAAATAAGATGAAAAATCTCATTATTTTGTAAGAAACAGAAATGATAACATTTTAATTTTATAAATAAATTCTTGGCATTCACAAGACCTATCATATAAAAATTTTACGCATCTCTCTAAAGTAGACTATTAGTAAAATTTACCAATTTTACACATTTCATTATGCCAGGATATTCATTTGGATTTTACTTCTTTCTCTTTTAATGTTTTTCAGTTTTCAGTCATACTAATTTTGAATAACACAATTTTCCATTGGATTTCTCTAGGGCTGTTCTCTGCCTTACATACCTTCCACAAATCCGAAATGTAAAATTTGGCAGAACCATGCACACCTTCTCGCCAAGCGCGGTATCTGGAGTACCAAACCAGCCATGGATTTAATTCATAACCAACTGCTGTGAACCCTTCCTTTGCAGCCGCTATGACCTGTGGAGAGAGGCAACATTTATTCAAAATAAGAAGAAAAAATGAACATACAAGGTCAAACAACATGTTTCCTATCGACAGTTTAAACATCCCATCAAAAAGTGCCTCCTCTGACTAAGACATCATTGAAAAATATGTCTCTAAAGTGATAAAGCTTTGTGGACAAGGTAATAGTCAACCCATGTAACTCAGTTTTCTTGATTGGCTAAAGATTTCACCTCAAGTATCAAAATAGACATTCAGGTTCACTTTGAACACCTCCATAATTGATCTAGGTGAGCCAATCCCAGGGGAGGTCGAACAAAACATTGCTGAAAATCCACTGCACCTCTCCATCAGTGGGCGAGCACAGCAGCAGGGAAATGAATGTGCCTGGGAAGATGGTTTTGTGAACAAGTAACTATACGCAATAAAAATAACCTGTCAATGAAAAATCTGCAATGAGTTACATATTTCCTTTGTAGCTAATGACTGTTCACTCAAAACTGGAAACAGGTAAAGGTAAAATGAAGTGAATCCACCTCCAGAGAGTGGGAGGGATGTGCGGCCATGCTGGGTTCGCTCTGTCCATTCTGTCCTGCCCCTATCTTTAAGGGAGCACCACTTGACTCAGCTATTCCACCTAAGGTAGTTCCCAAGTAACTACAATGCTGCAAGAAAACATTTTCTCAAAACCACGCAGATATTCTTCAAACACGTAAAGCATTCTAATAGGGATTGTAAAAGTTTCTCCTCGGTTTCTTGATATGGTTTGGCTCTGTGTCCCCATCCAAATCTCATCTTGAATTCCCACGTTGTGGGAGGGACCTGGTGGGAGGTAACTGAATAATAAGGGCAGGCCCTTCCCATGCTGTTCTCACGATAGTCAATAAGTCTCATGAGATCTGACGGTTTTATAAGGGGGAGTTTCCCTGCACACACTCTCTCCTTGCCTGCCGCCATCCATGTAAGACATGACTTGCTCCTCCTTGCCTTTCACCTTCCACCATGATTGGGAGGCCACCCCAGCTATGTGGAACTGTAACTCCAATCAACCTCTTTCTTTTGTAAACTGCTCAGTCTCAGTATCAGCAGCTTGAAAACAGACTAATACATTTCCTTTTTTTTTTTTTTTTTTTTTGAGACAGAGTCTCACTCTGTCACCCAGGCTGGAATGCAGTGGCACAATCTCAGCTCACTGCAACCTCTACCTCCCGGGTTCAAGCAATTCTCCTGCCTCAGCCTCCTGAGTAGCTGGGATTACAGGCACACAATGCCCAGCTAATTTTTATATTTTTAGTATAGTCATGTATTTGTATTTTTAGTACAGCTCGACCAACATGCATTTTTCACCATGTTGGTTAAGCTCGAACTCCTGACCACATGATCCACCCACCTCGGCCTCCCAAAGTGCTGGGATTACAGGCTTCAGCCACCATACCTGGCCACTAATACATTTCTTAAAAACAAATAGTGGCTCCCAGAGGGTAAGGGGTGAAGGGGAATAGAAAGTTATTATTTAATTGGGACAGAATTTCAGTTTTGCAAGATGAAAAGTATTCTAGAGATGGGTGGCGGTGATGGTGGCACAGCAATGTGAATGTGCTTCATATGCTGAACCGTACACCTGCACATGGTTACAATGGTAAACCCTATGCTATGTGTATCTCAACACGATTTTAAAAGAAAACAAAAATCAAAATTTAAAAATCTTACTTTTTAACCTCATCTTCATTATTCCAGCTCAGAATCACAAAAATTACAGTCTCTATGTGTGTAGGAGCTAGTGAGAGGTGACAGAGCCCCACGGGCCTTCACACTAAATGCTTCCATAGGACCAGCCTTTTCCACTGCTGCTGGGACTTTCTGGCTCATCACTGGGATGAGGCTAAGGATGCTGCCACCCTGCCCACAGAGGAACCTGCTCTGAGACACCCACTTGCCTGTCAGTGGCCTTTTCTCTTTATTTATAGGGGCCCAACTGGGGTCAAGTGAGAGAAGGTCACTAAAAAAGTCTGATCTTTGGCTTAGCAAAGGTTACTCACTGGCTCTTCTTATTTTAACTCTACATCACCCCACAGGAATTATTACTTATACATGGATGAATACAAACAAATATAGACGCAAACAACTATGGGGGAAAATGTAAAAGACTGAAATGCTTTTTAACATGTTTCTTCTCATTATGCCACCTCCCCGCACTTAGGGAGGCTGAGGCGAGTGGATCACGAGGTCAACAGATCGAGACCATCCTGGTCAACATGGTGAAACCCCGTCTCTACTAAAAAAATATACAAAAATTTAGCTGGGCATGATGGCACGTGCCTGTAATCCCAGCTACTCAGGAGGCTGTGGCAGGAGAATTGCGTGAACCCAGGAGGCGGAGATTCCGGTGAGCCGAGATCGCGCCATTGCACTCCAGCCTGGGTAACAAGAGCAAAACTCCATCTCAAAAAAAAAAAAAAAAAAAAAACAGACAATTTGATCATTTTCAGTTAACTGTTCTTTTTCACCTGCCATGTCTACAGTGTACATCCTCCTTTAAGAACAAATTAAATCCGGGAAAAATGAATCCCAAACACACCGGTAGTTTAATAGTTTGGTCAAACAAACACAAAATGAAATGAGCACTCTTTCAAGCTGTCGGATTTAGAAAGCCTTTGGGTAAGCCTTAATAAATGTAAAGCAGAAATTTTAAGTTCTGGTTCCAAACCTTAAAATGTTTTAGCAGAACTCACAATGCGTCCATCGCCGCTACCGATGTCTACAAGGGATCCTCTTCTGCGTCGCAACATTTTCACAACATTTTCAATCTGCTTTGTAGTTGCAGGTACAAACGGCAAACAGACTTTTCGAAGGGCTGGCGTTATAAACGGTGTGGCTACAGCATACACAGCCACCAGGGTCCCGCCCACAAGCCCAGTGAGTAAGAACCCCCAGTTGCTTTTCTGCAAACTGTTGGCTTCAAAACTTGCAGGTAGACTATGTCTTGACTGGCTTTCTTCTTTAAGTGTTTCTAGGGGTACACCTAGATTGAAAGCAAGCAGAAAAGACACACACCGCACCAAATCTGAAATCCAAGATAGTATTTTTTTCTACAATTCTCATTGACAAATAAACTCATGCTTTTTAAAGGATAATTTAGCTGAATACAAGCTAAATGCCAAGCGTAGGATCCCACAATAAGATCGAAATACTATTAACGTATTTTGGAGAACATTATTCAACACTATAGAAAGACTAAAATCTTTTCTTTCCAACATATTGATTTTTTATGTGTCTAGGAGTCATCCTTAGAAAACAGTGCATTCAAACTTATCGGGTAATTTATTAATTTAATATCCATTAGTACAAATTTTAATCATGCACTATGTATTTTTATGTTCTGAACTAATAAAGCCTGAAAAATAAATAAGCATAAAGATGTCTAATTACTACCTGATTTCATGTAAAATTAAAGGATTCCACATCAAATTTGGAATGGCATCTATAATCTAGTTGCACTAATACAATTTTAAAGTAATAGAAGGCACAAAAGTCAGGTTTTACCAAGCATCTTAAATAAGTATGGTAATAAAGAGACTTTTAAAGCAGATCCAAAAAGAACAAAAAATCAGTTAATCATTTCAGTACTATCGTAAGTATAAAATAATGCAGACCCCAATCACTGATTAGAAAGAAATGAATGGTACCTTAAACATCCTCTTGAGATTTGCCCTTTAAAATGCATTTAAACGGGATCTCAAGGTTTAGAAATTAATACTGACTTGAAATTGATTTTGAAATTGATCAATGAGGAGCACAGTACAGGAGGTAAAAGCATGACTAGTCAAGTTAGGATCCCAGCTCTGCTACCTCACTAATGAGGTGACCCTGAATCCCTCGTCCTTGCTGAACCTCAGTTTTCTCATCTGTAAAGTGGAGGGGTCACAGGGTTATTGTGAGGATGAAATAAGTGGATGGAGGTAAAGCACTTAGAACAGAGTCGAGCAGCTATAAATTTCCTATAACTGCTGTAAAAATATGCCACAAAATTAGTGGCTTAAAGTAACACCATTTATTATCATACAGTTGTGGAGGTCAGGATGAAATGAGCTGGCAGGGCTGCCTTCCTTCTGGGGGCCCTCAGGCAGGTTTCCTTGTCTCTTGCCACTTCCAGAGGCTGCACACAGTCCTAGGCTCTTGACCCCACACCACTCAATTTCTGCTTCCGTCCTGACATCACCTTCTCTCACATGCCTGCCTCCCTCTTAATTTATAGGGACCCTTGTGGCAACAATGGGCCCACCTAAATAATCCAAAATAACTTCTCATCTCAAGATCATTGATTACACCTGTACAGGTACAGGAATTAGAAAGTGGACATTCCTGGAAGGGATGTTATTCTTCCCACCACATCCATTAACTGTGGCAATCTATTCTGGTGCAGTATAAATTTAAACCCAAGAAACTCCGAAAGCTGGCACACAGCAGCGGGTCACCCTCAGGGCAGCTGGCCAATCGCCAGCATACCCACTCAGCGCGGCTTTGTTCTTGATTCCTGAAGCCCCTTAAATGAGTTGTAAAACTGATTTCATGGTAGAAAACCAACCGGGTCAGGGTGCGGTGGGAGGAAGAATGCTACCAGTACCAGTACCAGTGCTAGTGATGGTGGTAAACAAAATGAACTTCACGAAGTTGATGGCATTCAACAGAAAGCAAAAGCTTTAGTAATCTCAGTTCTAATTTTAGCATTTTACAGAGGAACTTAGAGGCATAACTTGGAGATACTCGGTTCCAGACCACTGCAATAAAGTGAGAACTGCAGTAAAGCAAGCTGCACAAATACCGTTGGTTTCCCGCTGTTAATAAAAGTTACGTTTACGCTATGCTGGAGTCTATTAAGTGTGCAGTGGCACTGCTTAAAAAACAATGTACATACCTTAATTTTAAAATGCTTTCTTGCTTGACATTTTGGTCTGATTTATCTTCAAAAATATTTTTTTAATTTTTAAAAAACAGTTTATTGCTAAGAAATGCTAATAATCAGGTGAGCCTTCAGTGAGTCATAATCTTTTCACTGGCATAGGATCTGGCCTTGAGGTTAATGGCCGCTCACTGATCAGGGTGGTGGTTGCCGAAGGTTGGAGTTGTTGTGGCAATTTTTAAAAACAGGACAACGATGAAGTTTGCCACGATAAGAGTCTTCCCTTCGTTAAAGGTTGCTCTGCAGCATGTGACGCTGTTTGACAGCATTTTACCCACAGTAGAACTTCTTTCAAATTTGGAGTCAGTCTTCCCAAACTCTGCCACTAATTTATCAACTGAGTTTATAAAATATTCAAAATTCTTGGCCAGGCACAGTGGCTCATACCTGTACTCTCAGCACCTTGGGAGGCGAAGTGGGCAATCATGAAGTCAGGAGTTTGAGACCAGCCTGACCAATATAGTGAAACCCTGTCTCTACTAAAAATACAAAAAATTAGCCAGGTACGGGGTACACACCTGTAATCTCAGCTACTCAGGAGGCTGAGGCAGGAGAATTGCTTGAACCCGGGAGGCAGAGGTTGCAGCGAGCCAAGATCACACCACTGCACTCCAGCCTGGGCGACAAAGTAAGACTTCATCTCAAAAAAAAAAAAATTATAAGTTCTTTGTCATCATTTCAACAATGTCTACAGCATCCTCACCAGTGTAGATTCCATCTCAGGAAACAACTTCCCTTGCTCATCCATAAAAAGCAACTCCTCATCCACTGACATTTTACCACGGGTTGCAGCAATTCAGTCTCATCTCCGGGCTCCACTTCTCATTGTCTTGCTATTTTGACCACATCTGCAGTTACTTCCTCCACTTAAGTCTCAAAGTCATCCATGAGGGTTGAAATCAACTTCTTCCAAACTCCTATTAACATTGCTTCTTTGACCTCCTCTCAAAAATCATTAATGTTATAAATAGCATCTAGAATGGTGAATCCTTTCCTTAAGGTTTTTAATTGACTTTGCCCAAATCCATCGGTGTAATCACTATCTATGGCACCTCTACCCTCATGAAATGTACTTCTTAAATAACAAGACTAAAAGTCAAAGTTACCCCTTGATCCTTGGGCTACAAAATGAATGCTATGTTGACAGCATTCACGTCGTTGTACACCTCCACCAGAGCTCTTGAGTAGTAACTAGATGCATTATCAATGAGCAGTCATATTTTGAAAGGAATCGTTTTTCTGATCAGTAGGTCTCAACAGTAGGCTTAAAATATTCAATAAATCATGCTGTAAAGGGAGGTGCTGTCATCCAGGCTTTGTTCCATTTACAGAGCACGGCAGGGTAGATTTAGCATCATTCTTAAGGGCTCTATGATTTTCAGAATGGCCAATGAGCATTGGCTTCAACTTAAAGTCACCAGCTACACTGGCCCCTAACAAAAGAGCTTATTCTTTGAAGTTTTGAAACCAGGAATTACTTTCTCTCTAGCTTCCAAAAGAAGGCTGTTTCATCTATATTGGAAATCTGTTTAGTGTAGTAACCTTCATCAACAAGCTTAGCTAGATCTTCTGGATAAGTCGCTGCAGCTTCTCCATCAGCACTTGCTGCTTCACTTTGCACTTTCATGTTCTGGAGATGGCTTCTTTCCTTAAACTTAACGAACCTACCTCTGCTAGCTTCAAACTATTCTTCTGCACCTTCCTCACTTCTCTCAGTCTTCAAAGAACTGAAGAGAGTTAGGGCCTTGCTCTGGATTAGGCTTCGGCTTAAGGATATGTTGTGGCCAGTTTTATTTTCTAGCCAGACCACTCAAACTTTCTCCATATCAGCAATAAGGCTTTTTCACTTTCTTATCATTTGTGTGTTCACTGGAGTAGCACTTTTAACCTCCGTCGAGAACATTTTCTTTGCATTCACAACTTAGCTAAGTGATGCAAAAAGCTTAATTTTCAGCCTATCTCAGTTTTCCACATGGCTTCCTCAATAAGCCTAATAATTTCTAGGTTTCTTCTTTAAAGTGGGAGAAGTGTGGCTCATTCACTTGAACACTTACAGGCCATTGTAGGGTTATTAATCAGCCTAATTTCAATACTGTTGTGTCTCAGGAACTAGGAAGGCCCAAGGAGACGGAGGGCAATGGAGGAATGGCCAGTGCAGCAGTAAGAACACACCACATTTACCGTTTAAGTTCACTCTTATTTGGGCATGGCTTGTGGAGCCCAAAAACACTTGGAATAGAAACATCAAAAATCCCTGATCATAGATCACCATTACAGATATAAAAATAGTGGAAAAGTCTGAAATACTGCAAGAATGCCAGGCACAGTGGCTAACACCTGTAATCCCAGCACTTCGGGAGGCCAAGGCGGGTGGATCACGTGAGTTTGAGAGTTCGAGACCAGCCTTACCAACATGGAGACACACCATCTCTACTACAAATACAAAAATTAGCCAGGCATGGTGGTACACGCCTGTAATCCCAGCTACTCGGGAGGCTGAGGCAAGAGAATCGCTTGGACCCAGGAGGCAGAGGTTGTGGTGAGCTGAGATCGTGCCACTGCACTGCAGCCTGGGCAACAAGAGCAAAACTCCATCTCAAAAAAAAAAAAAAAGAAATATTTTGAGAATTACCAAAATGTGACACACAGACAAAAAGTGAACACGATGCTGTTGAAAAAATGGTGCTAATAGACTTGCTCTGTGTAGGGATACCATAAACCTTCAATTTGTAAAATGCACATGACTGAGTGAGGAATGGTGGTTCACACCTGTAATCTCAGCTACTCAGGAGGCTGAGGCCAGAAGATCGCTTGAGCCCAGAAATTTGAGACCAGCCTGAGCAATAATAGCAAAATCCTATCTCTAATAACAACAAGAACAAAAAAGTGCACTCTCTGCAAAGTGCAATAAAACAAGGTATGCCTCTGCTTGCTATGGTGGTCGTCACGCATTTGGTTATTTAAAAAAAGTTGGCCAGGCACAGTGGCTCATGCCTGTAATCCCAGCACTTTGGAAGGCCGAGGCAGGAGGATTGCTTGAGGCCAGGAGTTCAAGCCTGGGCAACACAGCAAAACCCCATCTCTACAAAAAATAAATTAGCCACGTGTGGTAGCATGCACTTGTAGTTCCAGCTCTTTGGGAGGCTGAAGCAAAAGGATCACTTGGCCTCAGGAGGCTGAGGCTGCAGTGAGCCATGATCATACCAGTACGTTCCAGCATGTACAACTCAGCAATACCCTGGTATCAAAAAAAAAGTCAAGTCAAGGCTCATTTGTCATGCCCTCTCTAAAAAATTATCCTGTGGACATTCCAGTTGTACAGTACAGCGGTTAAGAGGATTTGCGTCACACAGTTCTGGAGACTCAGAACTTAATTAGTTGTTTAATACAAGGTAAGTTGTTACTAAGGCATGGTTTTCTCCTCGGTAAGATTGAGAAATAATTTGTTTAAACACAATTCAAAATTGGCCAGGCATGGTGGCTGAAGCATGTAATACAAGCACTTTGGGAGGCTGAGGCTGGTGGATCACCTGAGCTCAGGAGTTCAAGACCAACCTGGGAAACACAGCAAAACCTCATCTTTACCAGAAATGCAAAAAGTTAGCCAGGCCTGGTAAGGCGCACCTGTGGTCCCTGCTGCTTGGGAGGCTGAGCTGGGAGGACTGCTTGAGCCTGGGAGGTGGAGGTTGCAGTGAGCCAAGATCACACCACTGCACTCCAACCTGGGTGACAGAGTGAGACCTTCTCTCAAAAAAAAAGATTTTGTAATAATACTAAGATTATTGGAACATAAGATTCTTGGAAGAGGTAAATAACGTATACAAAGCATTTAGCACAAGCCTGAGAGACTAAGTAATGACTTCATTGCTATTATTATTCTCAATACTATGATTTGCAGGGAGGAGCTCAATTTTTAACAGCTTTGAGATACAATTCATATGCATATAATTTGTCCAGATAAAGTATACAATTTAATGTTTTTTTTAATATTCAGAGATATGCAACCATCACTACGGTCAATTTTTGAAAATTGTCATTACCTCAATAGGAAACCCCTTATCCTTTAGCTATCACCGCCCCCACCCACCCCCTAGGCCCCAGCCCTAAGCAACCACTAATCTATATTTTGTCTCAAGAATCCCCTATTCTGGGGCCAGGCACAGTGGCTCATGCCTGTAATCCCAGTACTTTGGGAGGCCGAGGTGGGCAAATCACTTGAGGTCAGGAGTTTGAGACCAGCCTGGCCAATATTCTGAAACTGTCTCACCTAAAAATACCAAAAGAAATTAGCCAGACACGGTGGTGCACACGTGTAGTCCCAACTACTTGGGAGGCTGAGGCAAGAGAATCGCTTGGACCGAGGAGGCAGAGGTTGCAGTGAACCAAGGAGCCAAGACCACACCACTGCACTCTAGCCTGGGTGTCAGAACAAGACTCTGTCTCAAAAAAAAAAAAAAAAGAATCCCCTATTCTAGACTTAGAGGAATGGAATTGTATAGTGTGTGGTCTTCTGTAACTGACTTTTTTTACTTAGCATATCTTCAAGATTCATCCATGTTGCAACTTGTATCAGTTCTTTATTTCTTTTTATGGCTTAATAATACTCCATTGTATGGATATGCCATATTCAGCTTATGCATTTGTTCACCAAGTTTATTAAACAAACACAAGTCAGATGACCCAGATTTAATTTCACCTGTGTAGATATGGCCCTTTCAATTCAACCAGCAACAGATATAATAAAGAGTTCCTGGTCTTCACAGCCTCCCATCTAGACCAATAAGGGGTGGGGTACAGGAGAGGCAGGCACAAGGCAGGTTGTGAAAAATGTTATAACACAAACAAAACACCACAGGCTTATGGGAGGTGGAGGAAAGACTGATTCCAACAATGGGACCAGACCAGTTAAGGTGTTTGGCAGAGAGAATATTTGAGTTGGAGCCAAAAGCAGCAAGCCTTGGAACCAAGGTGTGGAATGCAGGGAAAGCCTTTCTTGAGCACGAAGTAGGAGATAAACAGGAAGGCAGGCCTCTGAATGCCAGGCTGAACGTGCATTTTATTCTAGGTGCACTGTGATGAAACTTTTTGAGCAAAGTCACTATAATACTTGTGTTTTTAAGAAAGGGAACATCATGAGCAATGAGTCCCTTAATTAAATCATTCTATTTTCTGTCTCAAGTTTTTACCCCTGCAAATCTTTCAACATCATGTCACAAACATTTGCATGGGGACATCAAGATCCATAACCATTGCCAGAGCTTTGGAAGAAGTTACAATGTACATCCAATATATGACTACACTGCTAGTTCCATTCAGCAGAAACACTTGATTCTTTTGTGAGAGCGGGTCTCACTCTGTCATCCAGGCTGAAGTGCAGTAGCACAATCACAGCTCACCACAGCCTTGACCTCTGAGGCTCAAGCAATCCTCCCACCTCAGCCGCCCAAGTAGCTGGTACCATAGGCACAGGCCACCACATCCAGCTAATTTATTTATTTATTTTTATAGAGACAGAGTCTTCCTATGTTGCCCAGGCTGGTCTCAAACACCTGGGCTCAAGCAATCCTCTCACCCCAGACTCCCAAAGTGCCTCCAGGCCAGATCCTGTACTGATTTTCATCAGTGAAAATCAGGCCCTGAATAATCAAAACTAAAATCAAGACTGTTTCTACAAATCTTTCTAACAGAACATGTTCAGACTGCCAGACTATTCAATAAAAATAAACGGCAAGAACTTTCCATCAGGTGTTCTTTGGAACAAGGAGTCCTTCTATTGAAGAACAGCTGCAGTGGCCACTGGCTATTTTTATTGAGCACTTACGAGGAGTCTACCCTGGAAAGTCAAACACAGGATGGGGTGAACTTCTACAGTATCCAGACCCTGCTTGGTTACTGACTTCCAATATTGGCTGAAAACTTCAATGTTCAGTAGCAGTTTTGGATCAGCTGAAGGTAGAGGCAGTGACAAATGTATAAGGTACCCAGGGTTCTTATCCAAATTCAAGCCAAAAGAAAAAGGCCAGGAAGAGGGAAGGAGCCTGTCTGGAAGGTAACATGTAACCAGCCACATGTTTAAAGCGGGGCTTATGCTGGAATATCACAACTCTGAAGGACTGCTCATTGTGCACTTGTATATGCAGACCAGTTTAATACCTACAGCATAAATAAACCACATAGAAGATGCCAGGAGACACTTCCCATTTTTCACAACAATTGATTGAGCCAAATGAATTGCAGAAGTCACCGTTTTTAATGAGGAAACACTGACCTGGCAAAGCTAAAGTGAAATAAGACCTGACTTCAAAATCTACAATGTCCTTGAAGTGTTATTTTACGTCCAGAGTGTAAGTATGCCAAAAGCATTAAGAGGTTAACTGATCACCAACCATCCCATAACAAAGTCGGTCCCTCCTGTTTTGTTTTAGAGACAGAATCTCCTGCCACCCAGCATGGAGTGCAGTGGTGCGCTTATAGTTCACTGTAAACTGAACTCCTGGCCTCCAATCATCCTCCTGACTCAGTCCCCAGGGAAGGTGGGACCACAGGCGCCAAGTCAGATCTTGACTTTCAGGCCAGGGTCAAATGTTATAGTGCATGTATCCATTTCAACATTTATTGAGTACCTAATAAAGTCTGAGAAAAAAACAACTTTATTAGTTAAGTTCCTGTCCTGCGGCAGTAGGGGAGAAGCCAGGCCGGAACCCCTCAACAAATGAATCCAAACCTATAAAATATTAGGTCATGATCTTGGCAGGGCCTGGGAGGGAGGCAGCATAGGAGATTTAGAGGACATCTTTGCTGTTGCCAAGATCTTTCTGAAGCAGCACAATATAGGGCTTAAGAGTGGGACCCGTCCGGCACCGCAGTGGCTCACGCCTGAATCCCAGCACTTTGGGAGACCTAGATGGGCACATCACTTGAGGTCAGGAGTTCGAGACCAGCCTAGCCATTATGGTGAAACCCTATTCTATTAAAAATACTAAAGTTAGGGGGCGTGGTGGCCTGTGCTTGTAGTCCCAGCTGCTTGGGAGACTGAGGTACGAGAATCGCTTGAACCCGGGAGGCAGAGGCTGCAGTGTGCCGAAATTACGCCACTGCACTCCAGTCTGGGCTACAGTCTTGTCTCAAAAAAAAAAAAAAAAAAAAGGCGTGGGACCCACTGCATCAAGCTGTGCAACTCTGTCTCTTACTAGCTGTATAACCGTGGCAACTTACTGGACCATTTGTGCAAAATGTGAATTTAATAAACACTTAAACACAGCTTGCTGAGAGCCAGACACCGTTCTCCCTGAAACTGACAGCAGCCCTGGAAGGCAGGCACTACCTTTACCACCGTCACTTTGCAGAGAGCTTAAGAAATTTCCCCAAAGTCACAGCTATGAAGAGCGGCAGAGCTGTGATTCCAATGCATCAGTGTGCCTCCACTATCCCTATTCCTTATGGTCATGCAAACGGCTGCGTCGCTTGCCCCAAGAAGCCGACAACAGTCCCTGGCAAAGATAAACTAGCACCGGGAAACGCGCCCGCCGCCCACGATCGCCGGAACCGGCGCGGGCACGGCGCGGCGGCCAGGTGCTCTGGGCACCGAACGCCAGGCTGGAGAGCAGGACAGCCGCTCGCACCTGGCCACCGGCTCGACTGTAGAGACCTCAAACCGCAGCCCACCCGCATCCCTCCCCACGGCCGCAGGAGCGCGCCATGCCGTTCCGGCCTCACCTCCTTCTCCCTCCATCGCGAGATTTCCAACAAGGTTTTTTTTTTTTTTTTTTTTTTTTTTTTTTTTTTAATACGGAAGTGGGTCCTACCATCTTCTCGCAGCCGGAATGGGAAGAAATGAGGAAATAACTCTTTAAGTCAATGAATTCCTCGTTGGAACCCACTATCGAGAAATTCTCATTGGTACAGTTTTAAGAAATGACAAATTTAATCTGCTCTTGATTTTTGTGTCCTAAGATTTCCAGTAAGTGTCTTCAAACCTCCCCCCACGGCTTTCTGGCTAATAGAAGTTCCCGAAGGCCGCCGATTCCAGAAGATACTGTTCGGCGTGAAATTAGTCTTAGTTGAAACATAAGTCCCTGGCGTCTTGTGGTGCGCCTGCGCAAACTTTTGAGCCCTCCCGCGAGAGAAAAGTGCGTTCTCGGTTCTGTAGCAGTTTCCGCGGGTTGGGGGAAAGTAACTCCTGCTGCTGCACTATGGCGTCCATGGGGACCCTCGCCTTCGATGAATATGGGCGGCCTTTCCTTATCATCAAGGATCAAGACCGCAAGTCCCGTCTTATGGGCCTTGAGGCCCTCAAGGTAACTGCACAGGAACCCGCTAGCGGTGGGCTGAGGGGAGGCGGCCGAGGCCTGGCTCTGCGCCTGCGCGAGCTTAGGAGGGGCTCTGCCATGTGCTCCTCGAGAATCTGCGTCTCCCGGTGGTCTCCGGCCGAGCACCCCTGCTCCCTGTGCTCGGGAGAGGCAGGCGCCTAAGCCTGGGATCGGAATGTGGGGCCATGCTGGGCCGCCAGCGCCCTTCGCATCTGGGTGGAGCTGCTCATCCGATCGCCCACGGGAGCGATGCGGGACCACCTCCCCGCCCGCCCTCTCCAGCCTGGCGGCAGCACGGAACTACACTCCCATGAGAAGACTCCGGGGAGGTGCTCCGTCGCCTGTAGGTTAGGGCGCTGCTGTTTAACCCTCCGCTGGCCCACCCGCCACGGCCCTTCCGTTTCCTTTGTCACTCGTAAAGGTGTGATCACTTACAGGGTATTTCATTTCTGAGTGGTTTTTTGCCCACCCTTGAGGAAAAATAGCGAAAAATGGACGCACATCACCATAATACAAAGCAGTGTACGGTGAGGACAGCTAGAGAGTGGGTGCAGATGAGCGTGCTGCTGGAGGACAGCGTTAGATCAGGGGGTAAAGTGAGAAGTAGCATTCTAGGGAGAGGAAACGGTAGAAGGAAAGGCTTGGGCAGGAAAGCTCATGGCACGTTGTAGAGTAGAAGAGCCATCCGGTTTTAATGGAGCACTGACTACTTTAACTTATAATAGTTCCCAAAAGTGAAAGCTATTGAATGCCCAGCATGGAAAATACGACGTTTTCCGTTGGGAAGAAGGGGAACCGTTGAGGGGTTTTGAGCAGAATTTAAGTAGAGCTGCACTTCAGGCAGCAACGCTTGAGGTGAACCGAAGGGAATAGGGAAGATCACAGATGTTGAAGAAGCCGGGGCTGCAGGTAAGAAAGGAAGGGTCATCTGAGCACCAGATGTTGACAAAAAAATGACAAAAGGACAGTCCGAGATGGCATTTAGGGTTTGATATAAAGTGAATTCATAAGAGACCGTTCCACCAGCTTTCAGGTGTCCCTGTTCACTTAATGTCTTAGGGTTTTACTTAAAGCAAAGTTAGAAATACAGTTCTCCCATGGACTGATTTACTGCAAGTTACACAATCTCTCGGAACCGCGTTTTCCAGTAGAGGTGCTAGCCTCCGTCAAGCTGAAGACTTGACACTGATATTACATGGAGTGACTTAAGTGGCTGCACAGTGGTTGATCCATGGTAGGTACTCAGTATTTGTTACCTTTCTAGAAAGAAAAAAGTTCCAAGCTACTTGTATTATATATTCCATTTTATTTATCACTTAGAGGGACCTGCGGACAAAGTAACATCCAGTACACACACCCAGTAGAACAGTGTAACTAAAGCTATAGGTCGTTTTGCATTGGCCATTTTGTTCTAATTGCATGCATTTGTGCCCAGAACTCTCTGACATAGGTATTATTTTACCAAATTGGAGTCTTGGGCACAGAGCAGTTGATAAATTATTCTGAAGAGGGATTGCTGCTAAAGAGCAGCGCCATGGTTCAAGGCCCCCTCTGTCAGAGTCCAAGTGAGCAGTCGAGAGCAGCATTCTCGAGCTTGACATTATTGACATTCAGGGTCAGATCATTCCTTGCTGTGGGGGCTCATTTTGGACAGTGACCTGGGTATTTAAAGCTAAGAGTTGGATGCTGTGGGTAGGCTTGAGTGTTGAGACTCAGTAGTTGAGGGGTATACACTTGCTCCCTGAGCTCACAGAACGTCCAGCTAACTTGAAGAACCAAAATATATGGAAATTGAAGGCAACAGTAAAAGAAATGTGCAGGCCAGGACTTGAATGTTTTGATGGGTAATGGTCACAGTTCTTTCTCTCTGGTCATTTAGAGCCTTAAAAGTAATATGTATTCTGTTGAGATTCTTCAGTTGTGTAACACTTAACGTGTAATATTTCACCTTAAAAATGCAGGCATTGGCCAGGCACAGTGGCTCATGCCTGTAATCTCAGCACTTTGGGAGACCAAGGCAGGTGGATCACAAGGTCAGGAGTTCAAGATCAGCCTGACCAACATGGTGAAGCCCTGTCTCTACTGAAAATACAAAAATGAGACAGGCGTGTTGGAGTGCACCTGTAACCCCAGCTACTTAGGAGGCTGAGGCAAGAGATGGTTGAACCCGGGAGGCCATCCTGGGCGACAACAGCGAAATTCCATCTCAAAAAAAAAAAAAAAAATGCAGGCATTAGTTGGCTTAGGAAGGAATCATATCCTAAAAACATGTAACCTAAAACAAAGCAAGCTAAGTTTCCAGACCAGCCAGCATAATTCTGTTTTGTCCATAATATGTATTATACCTTGATGTTTAGGCTCTTCCCTCTGGAAATATGCAGAACTAACTAACAGAAGGAAGAAAAAGGTTTTTTTCACTTTCCTGAGCCATAGAGCAAAATATATCTTGGGATTTTGGGATCTCTCCTATTTGCCAAAATCCTTCCATCCTTTTCTTTCTGCCTCTTGCTTTCTCCTTAAAAAAAAATACTAATAATAATAATGATAATTCGCCAGGCACTTTGACTCACGTCTGTAATCCCAGCACTTTTGGACACCGAGGTGGACGGATCACAAGGTCAGGAGTTCGAGACCAGCCTTACTAACATGTTAAAACCCTGGCTCTACTAAAAATACGAAAATTAACTGGGCATGGTGGCGCTTGCCTGTAATCCTAGCTACTGGGGAGGTGGAGGTTGCAGTGAGCCAATATTGCACCACCGCACTCTAGCTTGGGCGACAGAGTGAGACTCTGTCTCAAAAAAAATGAACAAATAAATAACTAATAATTCTATCACTCAATTTGGTAGCTAAATGTGGTTTAAAGAAAAAAAGAAGTAACAGGTAACTTTTATTTTTATTATCACTTTGACAGCTACTTACCTTCCTTAAGGGGGCCGGTTACTAACTTAGAGCTACAAACATTATTATTGGAATTTCAGGTGAGTGGAGGAAGATGTTTAAAGCAAGAACATTTTTTCTTTTTATTTTGTACCGGGGTCTTCCGTGTTGCCCAGGCTGATCTCAAACTCCTGGCCTCAAGGGATCCTCCTGCCTCAGCCTCCCAAGTAGGTGGGATTACAGGCTCTATCCACCACACCCAGCTTAAAAGATTATAATTCCGCACTAAATCATAGTGTGACAGTAAGATGTTGTGTGTTTACAGTTGAACTCTTCCTCATGGGTACAGTCCCCTCCTTATCTGCAGATGTGAAACCCACAGATATGGAAGCCTAGATTCAAGGGACCTGAGCATCTGTGAATTTTGGTATCCTCAGGGGCTCCTGCAACCAATTCCTCATGGATACTCAGGGAGGACTATGTTGAAAATGGTCTTGTAAGGTCATGATCATGCTGTTCCTGTTCTCAGCTGTAAACAGGCTGGTAAAAGAATCTGTCTCATTCATGTCTTGAAAATTAAGTGAGATAGCACAAAGCACTTAGCTCTGTTTCTTTTACATAAGAATGGCTTATTAAAACTGGAGTCGTAAATGTTATAATACTTAGACCTGTCGCCTCTTAAATGTAGAGGCTTCTAGAAGATAGAAACTAAGTCATAAGTGATTTTTGTAATCATCAGATGTGTGCTTTTAAGTATTGAAATTATATGAACAATCTTTGCTTTTTCTGTTTCATTAGTCTCATATAATGGCGGCAAAGGCTGTGGCAAATACAATGAGAACGTCGCTTGGACCAAATGGTAAGAGTCCACCATTCCGTGTGTTTTAGCAAAAGATTTAAACCATAAAACTGTTCTACAAATCTCTGTACAGAAAGGTGGGATCTTGGGGGGAGGTATCTTACTTCCTTAACACAGCCAAAATTTTTTAGTGTATTTCAGGTTTCTTAAACATGCTTAGAGTCGTGTGTAATTTACGTCAGACTTTTTTTTTTTTAACATGTAACATCATTTCATTAGCATTTTCCAAATCATAGTTGTCTCTGAGATCAATACTATATTTAATGATGCTCCATAATTTTTTGCCATTTATGTTACCTAATCTAAAAATGCTTTTATGCTGCTATTATTTCATGTATGTTGAATTATTTGTTTATAATAAATTGCATAGGTAAGAGCTGGGTCAAGAGGTCTTATTTATACTTTGTGATATTGGTTGCCAGTTTTTTGCCCAAAACCTACTATGCGTTGTCTTTTTAGGACTGGATAAGATGATGGTGGATAAGGATGGCGATGTGACTGTAACTAATGATGGTGCCACCATCTTAAGCATGATGGATGTCGATCATCAGATTGCCAAGCTCATGGTGGAACTATCCAAGTCTCAGGATGATGAAATTGGAGACGGAACCACAGGAGTGGTTGGTAAGAAAAGACAAACATCCTTTCCTTTCTCATTTAAGACCACGGGGCTAACACGGCTGCCAAGATTGTCGTCTCTGAATCAGGGCATGAGGAGAGACAAATCCAAGTTGAAGAACATTCTACAAAACAAATGGCCCAGACATTCAAAACTGACAGTGTTACAGAGAATAGAAAGAGGGCTGGAATAGTTAGGCAAGAAGAAATGTGTAATAATTGACTGGATGCCGATTTTGCTTGTCTTTTAAGCTGTAAAGGATGTTTGGGAAAAGTGGAGGAATTAGATTATGGACATGTACTGCATAATAGTTCTGTGTTGATGCTGAGTGTCCTGAGTGTGACAGTTACGTTGCAGTTGTGTAGGAGAATGCCCTTGTTCTCAGCTGTATGCCTAAACTTTTTTTAGGCATTTTTACGAGTGACCTGCCATGGTTTCTGCAACTAATTCTCAAATAGTTGAACAGAAACGGTATGTACTGTAGAGAAAATGTTAAGTAAACCGATATTCATTTTTCTATTGTACCTTTTTTTCTGAAGATTTGAAATCTTTAAAAAGTTGAGACTGAAGACAAAATATCACTAAGGTTACCTTTTCTGCAGATAATTTTTGAATTTATTTATTCAACAAATATTTATTGGTTACTGTTGTATGCCAAGCACTGTTCTCAGTGCGTTTGGAGATCTGCAGATTTAAAACAATTAATCTTTGTGACCCTAAAATGAGAAAGAAATGTGGTGGTGGTGGTGGTGGGTGGTAGGCGGGGGGGCGGCGGTAAATAGTCTTATCACCAGGATGGATTTCACTGAATAGACCTGGCCCAGGAAACATAATAGTTTTTACCTCTTAGAAAAATGTTCTTTTACCATTACATTCTTTACATCACTGAAAGTTGAATGTTCATCTGTAAGGGGAGACCTATTAGACCTTTGCTAGAGTCAAAACAAGAGGTTTTCTTTTAAAAATAGATGGCTTCTGCCTCTAAGATTACTTCCAGCTTCATTCTGGAACCTTCTTATTTTTATGATAACATCTAACTTGTGGTGATTATACTTAAAGTGAAATTTTGTTGTTTTCCTGAACTGATTGTCTGCTGGCTTGTTTGCAGTCCTGGCTGGTGCCTTGTTAGAAGAAGCCGAGCAGTTGCTAGACCGAGGCATTCACCCAATCAGAATAGCTGATGGCTATGAGCAGGCTGCCCGCGTTGCTATTGAACACCTGGACAAGATCAGCGATAGCGTCCTTGTTGACATAAAGGACACCGAACCCCTGATTCAGACTGCAAAAACCACGCTGGGCTCCAAAGTGTATGTTTCAGTAGAAGATGCGATTATACATTTGTAGGGGAGACAGTTTGTTTGCCATTTCTTAAAGGCGACACAAGATGACTGCTGGTGGATTTGTATTGATTCGATGAGTTTCTTTCAATCACTTGATTTTGCTTTGTTTTTAATGTAGATGTAGACACATGGATTTTGTATTTTAGTTGAGAACTGAATTTCTAAGTTCAGGTGTAAATGCCCTTGACAATTATTTGCAAAATACAGTTATTTTAATTTAGTAGAATAGGCTGTGTTTAAGATCAGCTAGGGTACAGTGGCTCATACTTGTAATCTCAGCCAAAGCAGTAGTTTAGGAGGCCAAAGCAGTAGAGTTGCTTGAGCCCAGGAGTTCAAGACCAGCCAGGGCAACATAATGGGACCCCCTCGCTACAAAAAATAAATGAACCAGGCATGGAAGCACATGCCCCAGCAACTCTAGAGGCTGAGGTGAGAGGTCGAGGCTACAGGCCATGATCATGCCACTGCATCCAGCTTGAGCAACAGAGCCCTGTCTCCAAAAAAAAAGAAATCAACTAGAAGGGGTCCTACTTGGAGGATATGTGAATCTTCTTAACACTTCTTTCTGTAATTTGTTTCTTAAGGAGTTACTGGGGGTGGGTTCCACTTTTTATTCAGCAAATTGCTGATCCAAAATTATAACTTAGTAAGGAGAAACAGTCTTGAAACTGACTTGTCTCTGGTGTTTTCAACATTTGCATAATACCTGTTCGCCAAGCTGGCTGCCTGGTCTTAATGGGCATAAAGACACAGCTCTTTCCCCCAGGAAACTCTAAGCAACCTCAGCCAAGGGGTGCACTGATTATGAACAATGATAAAGACTTAAGGTCTGTTGCCATAATATAACATAAAAATTCAGTGTAAGTTACTTAATTACAATTACTTTATATCAATGAAAGATGTTTTCAAGTGTGTGCTTGTGGTGGTTTTAGCAAAAAGGAAGGAGGGGTCTTCTCAACTCGGTAGTTGGGGAAAATGCAGGAAATGTGTCGGCCTCCGTTGCCTTTTCCCCTGAGGAAAGCCTCTGTTAGGGCAGAAGCCTTCAACGGTGCCTGCTGTGCTCTAACCACAGGTCGTAGCAGAGACTAGCTCTCTAGGCAAGAGGAACTACCGTAGGGGTAGCCTCGGTCACAAGTATAACACTATTTTCTCAAGAGAAGGACATCATCATTACTTGACGTGTACATCTCTGTTTTATTGTTGCTTTAAAGTTGGCCCTGTTCTGTTTGCAAGTATTAACTCAGTCTACTTAAGATACAACATTTTTACTTTCATGATTCTGTTTTATAGATAATCTAAGATTTCAGACATTTCAAGTGCTAGGTTTCCCTAGTTGTTTTTCTTGGCTCAAAAATGAATTTAAGGAGCAATCTATTCAAATGTTTCAAAGCTTTCAAAAAGGCAGCATCCTCTGGGTAACTCATGTTGTGGGAATTTCACTTCCCATTAAGTGCTGCACTTCATTTAGATAAGATTGACTTTTCCCCGAGTTATTACTTATCTTTCTCATTCTGTTCTGAACTTGTAAAATTGTAACGTATTCTGTAAAAGTGGTGCATTCTAAGACGACCTTAGTTCATGCCAGACTACAGTGGTTTCTTGAGTACATTTATAATGGAAGGAAATAGTAAATTCCAGAGTTAACAAAAATAAAGGATGTAATTATTTTCCCATCTAAGTGCACAGTCCCCTTTGCGGTCCATGGGTCAGTCACAGGTTAAGAATCTCTGCCCCAGCCTGTTGAAAATGCAGGCGGAGACGACATTCCCTTCTAGAAGATTCAGAACATCATTTGATTTATATCTTTGAGTAACATTGTATCATGTGGCCTGCTTTGGTTGCGGTAATTGTGAAACCAGTGAAGTTTGTTTTGTGGTGATTTCATCAGGGTCAACAGTTGTCACCGACAAATGGCGGAGATCGCTGTGAATGCCGTCCTCACTGTAGCAGACATGGAGCGCAGAGATGTGGACTTTGAGCTTATCAAAGTAGAAGGCAAAGTGGGTGGCAGGCTGGAGGACACTAAGCTGATTAAGGGCGTGATCGTAGACAAGGATTTCAGTCACCCGCAGATGCCGAAAGTAAGCCGTTGGGTTTCAGAGTTTCACACTGTTGGTTAACTCATAATTTCACCAATTAAAATGTCCTTATGTTTCCCCATAGAAAGTGGAAGATGCTAAGATTGCAATTCTCACATGTCCATTCGAACCACCCAAACCAAAAACGAAGCATAAGCTGGATGTGACCTCTGTAGAAGATTATAAAGCCCTTCAGAAATATGAAAAGGAGAAATTTGAAGAGATGATTCAACAGGTAAGTGTTACCGGAGTCCTCAGTGGAATTTAAACTCCCAGAGGATACAGTTAGTTAGGTGTGGTTCGTAAATACGCGTAGTCTTCAGTTCTAAAACATACACAAGAACAAACCAGATGGCATAGAAAGGTACAAACAGAGAAGAATTCTAATTTTGTCTTAAAATGGTAGCGTGTTCAAGGCCCTGAAAGAAGTGATCCTGTTACCTAAAGCCATGCTCTCGATTGTACGTTATTACACTTGCTCTCCTGGACAAGTGTGACGTAGCCTACCTTCCCTTTAAGATTTCTGACTATACCTTTTAGGCAAGAGTTAATGAGTAACTGGAATTAAACCAGAATGCACTTATAGGAATCCCGTTCTTCACTCAGATAAATCTAGTTTGGGTTCACGAATACCTTAGCATAGGTGTGCTTGCTCTCTGATGTAGCAGCTCTTCTTTGGGGACTCTGTCGTTGGGAGCTGAAAACACAGGTACTCAAGAATACAGGAGCATGGGTTGGTTAGAGCATTATTTACCATAGCAAACCAACTAGAGGCTATTTTCATGTCTGTTCTTGGGAGAGTCATTGTATTTATCTGCTCATTCATGATGTGGTTTTTTGTGCCTTCAACATATCAAGCTCTGTTGTAGGCACTAAAGGTTCAGCAGTGAATGAAGCCAAGCTTGTGCTCTTGAGGCACAGATAAGGGAAAGGTGGGTACAGCTCTGTTACAGATGCTGCTCAGAGACATGACCTGTAGGGAGAAGCTAACATTGAGTGAAGCAGCACCCCCAGGGGAGAACATTTCAGGCTAAGTACAGATGGGGATGCTCTTGAGGCAGGAACGTGGTTGGCTGGTAGAAGGAACAGCCAGCCTCAGGGACTAGAGCATGCTGGCAGGAGCTTGTACATACAAGTCCATTATCTGGGCAGGTGGGCCCGTCGGCATGAAAATTGTGGCTCATCTGCACCAGGGGGTCAGAGATATACTGAGAGGCCGGGAATGTTACTGGATCACACTGGTGGGGCGCAGGTTGCTGAGAATGAGAAAGGAATGGTGCTGGGGCTAGATGCTAAAATGTTAATGAGAGGCAGGGACTCGAGAACATTGAAGGTGCCTGAGGAGTAAGAAGGAGCCCTCTCCTGTTTTGAGCACGTGAGAGGGAAAGCAGCTGCCATCTGAGGATGGTTGCAGGGCAGGTTGGTTTTCAGGGGTTGTGACAGAAGCATTGTATAAGGAGGCTGCTCTCCTGGACTGAGCTCCAGAGGATCAGGGAAGGAAGAAAGGGAGAGCTAGGCCGTAGCGGATGGTCTGGGAGGCCTGAAGGAGACAGGTAAGCGGGAGTTGTGGGGCACGGTGCAGCCATCTTAGGTAAGCACCAGCGGTGGGGTGGGCAACCTGATGGCTGCCTTCCTGATTGGGAAAAGTCACTTTGCCATTTGCAGGTTGGGGTGACAGTGCTTCTTACTGGAAGCAGAGTTGCTTCTGTGGGCCCCTGAATTAGTTGGTATTTATGAATCCAACTGAAGATTGTCCACTCAGACAAGTTGCAAGTGGTTCATAACATTGTTTAAAACATACTCAGATGAAAGTTCTCCACAGGTGTTTGTGACAGGGCAGAGCCTTTTCCCCATGGTTGGGAGAGGGTATTAGCTTTGTTTGTTGACAAGTCTGTTGGTTTTTTGCGTCACTGTAACAATAGGGTTCAGTATGAATTACTGATTGTGGTTTTTAAAGCATAGTTTTAAAAATGAGGTGATCGCCGTTGATAATACATTTAGAATTTGGAACTGACAGAAAGAGGACACTTGTCTGTTCTCTTCCTTCTTTGCTTTTGTGTTTGAGTGCACCCGCCTTACACTCAGCTACGCCTCTCCTTTTTTCAAACGTTATAACGAAGAATAAATACCCACTTTCTTCTCTTAACATGATTGCGGTGTTTCTTTTCCCAGATTAAGGAGACTGGTGCTAACCTAGCAATTTGTCAGTGGGGCTTTGATGATGAAGCAAATCACTTACTTCTTCAGAACAACTTGCCTGCGGTGCGCTGGGTAGGAGGACCTGAAATTGAGGTAGGATACTCCTATGAAGGGGCTTTGAGATGTAGGGGTTCAGCTTATGTGTTGAGGGATGTTTTGATAGCCCTCCCTTAAACAGCCGCATCTTACCAAGGCTGGGAGATGAGGGGAGCATGAGCCAGGAGAGGGGGAACGTGCTGGGATCTTTGTTACCGTTTCGATACAGTGCTGTGTGGTTCTGGTGTTTCCTGGCATTTTGCAATTCTCTCCCTGTGTTGTCTCACTTGGCCCTATCATTGACTAAGGCAGGAAGACCTGGTCTCATCCGAATACTAACAGCAGTCCCAGGCAATGCTGCCTCAGTAGTTCTCTCTGCAATGCAGTGCAAGGAACATGCAAGCTGGGTTCCCTGAGGGAGGGACAGCTGCGCAGAGGGGAGATGAGGGCGTGAGTTAGTCACAATGGGGCAGCAAGTCTAGTCAACAAGGTGGTGTTAGATCAAGTTTTGCTCATTTGTGGCCCACTTTTGAAAGTTAACTTCACCAGTACTGTCTTCTCCCTGACCACCCCAATTAGCTGATTGCCATTGCAACAGGAGGGCGGATCGTCCCCAGGTTCTCAGAGCTCACAGCCGAGAAGCTGGGCTTTGCTGGTCTTGTACAGGAGATCTCATTTGGAACGACTAAGGATAAAATGCTGGTCATCGAGCAGTGTAAGAACTCCAGAGCCGTAACCATTTTTATTAGAGGAGGAAATAAGATGGTGAGAATTCAACTATTTGTCTTAGACTATTTCTTATTTTGTCTCATGCTCTGGCTTTTCTGCCTGTAATATATTTAATAGAGACAAAGTTACCATAAGAAAAATATCGTTTTTCTCAAACAATCATGTTCCATGGTGTAAAATTACAGAAGACCATGTTAAATTGTTAATTTCACTAGGCACATTTGCCTTTCTGCTGTCCATTACAGTGTATAATACATGCTATGAGATTTAAGCACAGTTTAAATGTTCAAGCCCTGGATTTTAGAATGTTTGGTACGATTAACCTTAGGGGCTGGTTAAACTGCTAGTCCTAGCAATATGGTGTCATTAGCAAAGATGACCTACATCTGTCCCTGAGGTAGAAAAAGGGAACCCAAGTGAATAGCCACTGACGATCGCTCTGTTCTTTGAGACTGAGTTTTTAGCACATTGTGATAAGTCTTTTCGAGGTGGTTTTTTTTTTGGTCCGTTTTGACTTTTGCTTGACCGTGTATCCTAGAATGAGTCACTGGCCGCCTGTGCCTCTTGAATTTTGTTAACTCCATCACAGGAAGAAAAGAAAGAAAGATACAGGTCATCCGATAATGGAGGCCATCTAAGTATTAGAGCAGAGCTTCTGTTTCTAAAGAGGTGCCAGATACTTGGCTCTAAATTGAATAGATCTTGATCACACTGATTTAGGCAAGGCTGTTTTCCTTAGATCATTGAGGAGGCGAAACGATCCCTTCACGATGCTCTGTGTGTCATCCGGAACCTCATCCGTGATAATCGTGTGGTGTATGGAGGAGGGGCTGCGGAGATATCCTGTGCCCTGGCAGTTAGCCAAGAGGCAGATAAGGTAAGGGGTATGTACAGACTTAGAAGGACTCGGGCCTCGCCAGCGGTGGCAGGTGTGAGGCTGCAGAACAGAGCGAGGTGCTGTGCTGCGTGTGAGACGCACAAAAGCATCGTGAGCTGTAGGCGACGGGTATTTTAATCTAAGTTAATTCCCATGTTCCTGTATTCAGATTCTGGTTACTATAAACTAGTATTTCTCAGCTTGAAATAATAAATCTCTAATCTTTTAATGTTATTTGAGATTCAAAATATAACTTAAAGCAGTAAGAGCTGCTGTATTTTGAGACATCTCTCATGTATGCATACCCTCTGCCTACGTTCTGCAGTGCATTGTAATATTCTGATAGATACAAAAATAAAAACAGCCTATTCTTATGCTTTGTGAGCTGACTTTGCAAAGTACGCAATATAGCTGTGTTTTCAAGGTGCTGCTGGGTTTTATTTTGCCAAGTGCACTTACCATACCCCTGTACCCTTCCAGTGCCCCACCTTAGAACAGTACGCCATGAGAGCATTTGCTGATGCACTGGAGGTCATCCCCATGGCCCTGTCTGAAAACAGTGGCATGAATCCCATCCAGACTATGACCGAAGTCCGAGCCAGACAAGTGAAGGAGAGGAACCCTGCTCTTGGCATCGACTGTTTGCACAGGGGGACAAATGGTGAGGAGCTGCCACACGTGTGCATGGGGTGTCTGATTTAACAATGATAGTCCGCTGTGTGTGCTGTGAGATGATGATGTTCTTTTAAATACATAAACCCACTTCAGGTGTTCAAGTCCTTGAATTTTAGAATGTTTGATTTGATCACCATAGGAATTGGTTAGATACTAGACCTAGCAACATAAAACTCATTTTAATAACAGTAAACTACAATATGGTGTTAGCACCAAAGGTGACTTACGTTTTAATCTTTAGTTTTGGAAAGTAATGCCATATTGCTTTCTTGACACAGTGTCTGTCCGTGGACAATATAAAACAGCTCTGAAGTGGGCTTTAGTGCACATCGTGGAGTGTTTGATAAATGTGATATAATACTGTAACCTCTGTAGCCACTTGTGTAGCTCCGTTCCCAAAAAGCTAGGGTGACTGTAGCTTGTTGAAACAGTGGTCCCAGGCATTTCTGTACTAAATCGGGCCCTGGCTATAATCAGTCCACAGAACCTGACAGTTTGGTTTTGCTTAGAAGTGAAGGTACGGTCTGCTTTCCATGCTCATATCCCAAGACTTTTAATAATAGCAACTCTTTGTCGGGAAAATATTTACTGTTTCTAATTTGAATGCCTGGTTGTGCTAAAATTTAGCATTTCTAGGGCCTGGCGCGGTGACTCATGCCTGTAATCCCAGCACTTCAGGAGGCCTAGGCAGGTGGATCACCTGAGGTCAGGAGTTTGAGACCAGCCTGACCAACATGGTGAAACCCCATCTCTACTAAAATTATAAAAATCAGCCGGGCGTGGTGGTGGGCACCTGTAATCCCAGCTACTCAGGAGGCTGAGGCAGAGAATTGCTTGAACTGGAGAAGCCGAGGTTGCAGTCAGCTGAGATTGCACCATTGCGCTCCAGCTCGGGCAACAGAGCGAGACCCTGTCTCCAAAAAAAAATAAAAATTAGCATTTCTAGATCTCTATTGAAAATACCTTGTATTTCAGCTATGGTCAGATTTCACTTACTTTAGATTTCCTAAGTTAGGGTATGGATACTTAGTGAGCTGTTACTGAGAAATTTCACCCTGTAGCTTCTCATTGAAGACAGCCCTCTCCCAATAGCTGTTTACCAGGTTCAAATTCCTGAGTGTCGTTGGAAGTAGTGAAGTTATCTTCATCTGAAAATGAAATTAACTGAAATGAGTGGCCTCCTGCTTGGCTTCTAGGAGTTTGTATTTCTTAAGTTTTGCTGTGATTCCATAAATCAGAAAATCAGAGCTGGTTCTTGGTAATGAATATGTATGCTATTTTAGGATAATCGATGTCCTTGTATTTTTCAGATATGAAGCAACAGCATGTCATAGAAACCTTGATTGGCAAAAAGCAACAAATATCTCTTGCGACACAAATGGTTAGAATGATTTTGAAGATTGATGACATTCGTAAGCCTGGAGAATCTGAAGAATGAAGACATGGAGATACTATGTAGTAAGATCTACTGTGATTGAATAAATGGGTGTCTTGCGATGCGTCTACAGTTATTTATTACATCCTTTTTCAGGCATTGTAGATGCTATAATAAAAAGAGCTGTTTGGTAAGCATAGTTTCAGTTGTTCAAAAATGTGTAATTGTGGGGGTACTATCTCAACGTGTTTTTGTATTCGTTGTATTAAGGGAATCTCTTTAAACAACCTATCTTCAGGTTTAAGAAACATTTATTGTAACAGTGATTAAATGCCGCCCTAATTGAAGGGGTTTGAGTGGATTTTTTTTTCCAAAATAGGCTGTAGGGACTTTTAACAGTTAAAACATGAATCCTCAAGATGCACTTTAGTATCAAGAGGAATATGGGCTTGATCCTCTTCCTCTCTAAATGGGTAGGCCCTTTGATTGTAGCGGCTCGTCAAAGATGAGTATTTCCACTGCAGAATTATGGGATGCCTTAAGTGCTATTAGTAGGTGGCTCACAGCCTAACCTAGGATGTTGTTCAGAGCTGATAGAGACCCGTGTGAGCCCTTGCTTTCCTCTGGCCCCACCCTGCACGCAACTCGTGCAGAATTAGAGGCAGCATGTTGCAGTCAGCCACCAGCACAGGCATAGAAGGGCAGTTCAGAACCTGCTTGTTTTCCTACCAGAGGTTTACAGTAAGTAGAGGGTTAAAGTAAATTACAGGAAATAAGGGAGAAATCCTGCAGTTCCCATGTTGAGAATGACTGAAATTGATTGTACTAGCTAACAGTCCTGACGAGCCAGGACTTCTTCCAAGAACTCCGACTGGATTGTCTCTGTTCTCAACCCAGTGAGGCAGATACACTTCCTGCCGCTCACATCTTACAGGTGAGTACTAATAATTTGCCAGCATCTCACCTCCAGCAGGTAGTAGAGCCAGGTCAGTCCCCAGCAGTCTAACCCCAGAGTTGCCCAGCTCATCCCCTTCCTCTTCTGCTTTTGCCTGTTAATGATTCTCTAGATTTTCTAAAACAGTGTTTCTTGAAGAACATCATGATGATAAAGCTCATCTTGATGAACTTTATCACTAGTTAGTGCCACCTTAACTAGTCACACCTTATTCCCTAGAATTAGGAAATGGTGACTTACCTAAGCTTAACTCATGAATTTGGGTTACCTTCCCATGTGAACCTGGATATTTACCAGTCTTAACTATTGGGTCATTGTGTTTTCTCTGTACGTTAATGCATTGGATGTTTTGCTGAATAACACCTGTGAATTTAGGAATGTGTGTAATAGCATTCTTCCTTCTTTTCATGTTTATATGGAACTGGGCCAATTGAGTAGTGAAAGCTTTAAACAGTTTATTTATGGTGACTGATTCTAGACTTCAGAGAACATACAGCAGCCTTCTTTGGACTACAGTCTTATCTGAGGGGTCCATGGTTGTATCAGAAGAGCCATTAAACCAATCCCCCTCATACAATTGAACCTCACAGACATTCCTGATGTTTTTCTGGTTGAGAAACCGATCAGTGAACAGGAAAACATGTTTCACAAGCCTTTGGTTTTTGTTTCATTACAAATAAACCTCTTCCAGGAGATGTCCTTCATCTTTCCAGTTTCAGATCACTCGTTTCATTTCCCTGCTACTTGGGCCACTCTCTCTCCTTCCCCACGTGGAGCAAAAGCAACTTAAGGGTGCTTGACCCAAAGGCTAGATTCCCATGTAAGACCCCATGTTTTACTGCTCTTTCCCAGTTTACCCAGATTCATTGAGGTTTGTTAAATGTCCTTTTTTTACCTTCAGTCTACTCTCAGTTTCCATGGGGCAGTAGTTCCAGGACGTCCTGCAGATGCCAAAGTTCATGAATCCTCAAGTCCATGATAAAAATCCAAGGTATTTGCATATAACGTACACCTCCTGTATACTTCAGATCATCTCCATATTATGCATAATACCTAATGTAAATGATATGTAAATTTCATACTATACTGTTTAGGGAGTAATGACAAAAAATCTACATGAGTACAGATGCATTTTTTTTCCCTGAATATTTTCCACCTGAGGTTGATTGAATGCAGGTGAGGGTCAGCCTTGCAAGCAGCCACTGTGAAGCACAAATGCCCTTGGGAGGGCTGAGAGGTCAGTCTCAGTTATGTGTGACTGAATTTCTTGAATCTCTCTCTCTAGGTGAAACAGCTCCAACAGATTGGGGGCTGGGGAAGCAGAGGAAGGTGGGGTATGGTAGTAATTAACAAATCAGTAATGGGTAAGCATGGAGAAGTTTCTCGAACCTAGGTGTGTGTTGCAGGCAGCCTTAGCAGAATGGTGTTATCTAAAAGCACCAAAAAACTGGGGACGGAAGGCAAGTGGCTGAGAAAGTGTTGAAGGTCAGGAAAAGTGGGAAACCACGACAGTAGCAAAGATGTAAACGCATGTGCCGGATCACTGCTCTGAACGCTTCGTATATATTAAAGCTGGTTTTCAAAGTGTGCTCCAAGATCCCTTGGGGTCCTGGGCCTTTTAACGGGGCCCATAAAGTCATGTATTTTCCTACTCTAAAGTGACTGCCTTTTTCACTGTGTTGACATTTACGCTGATGCTGCAAAAGCGATGACAATTTAAACCTTAGAATGAGGCAGGTAGTGGCACCACACACTTTCAAAAAGAAAATGATTTTTTTTGGCCAGGCACAGTGGCTCGTGCCTATAATCCCAACACTTTAGGAGGCCAAGGCAGGTGGATCACCTGAGGTCAGGAGTTCCAGACCATCCTAGCCAACGTGGCAAAACCCGTCTCTACTAAAAAATATAAAAATTAGCCAGGCATGGCAGTGGGTGCCTGTAATCCCAGCTACACGGGAGGCTGAGGCAGGAGAACTACTTGAACCCGGGAGGCAGAGGTTGCAGTGAGCCAAGAACGTGCCAGTGCACTCCAGCCTGGGTGACAGGGCAAGACTCCATCTAAAAAAAAGACATTTTCACTTAAAGATGGCTTTGATGAGGGAACACACACTATTAAGTTGTTGGCTGTTGGCCTTTGAGTACCCGTATTTTAGCATTCTGAGTAAGAGTTAAGTGTTGGGGAGGAAAGAAAAACTGCTTCTGTGTGACAAACTTGATGGTCGTGCTGAACTCGCCCCTCATCACCGCATTCCCCTTGGCATTAAAGAATGACTAGCTCAGCTGGACACTGGTTCATGCCTTAATCCCAACAAATTGGGACTCCAAGCTAGGAGGATTGCTTGAAGCCAGGAGTTCAAGACTAGCCTGGCCAACATAAACTCAGTCTCTACAAATTGATAGGAAAAATTAGCCAATGTGATGGCACATGCCTGTTAGTCCTAGTTACTTGGAAAACTGAGGTGGAAGGGTCACTTAAGTCCTGGAGTTCAAGACTGCAATGGGCTGAGGGCACCACTGTACTCCAGCCCAGCAGCGGAGCAAGACCCTGTCTCAAAAAATAAAAATGACTGACTGGGTATGTGAAATACCTTTTCTCAAAAACAACTAGAATGAGCCTGTCACTCCAATAGAACTGGCAGAATATGTCCTCAATGGTAAAGTTGGGTTTTTAAGCTAAAATAAGTGTTTGAAAACTAATATCCACCATCATGACCTCAAGAACTTCCCTTTTGTGATGAGGTTGGTGTTTTACTTTTGTTTTCAAAGTTTGTTTTTTTAATGTCAGCAAGGTATCTTCAGTGAGACTACTGGTAAGGTTTTAAAGGATGAATTTTTGGCTGGGCACAGTGGCTCACACCTGTAATCCAGCACTTTGGGAGGCCAAAGCAAGAGGATCGCTGTAGCTCAGGAGTTAGAGACCAGCCTGGGCAACATAGACCCTGTCTCTACCAAAAATAAGTCAGCTGGGGCCTGGTGGCATGCTTGTGTGGTCCCAGCTACTTGGGAGGATCCTTTTGAGCCCAGGAGGTTGAGGGTACAGTGAGCCAAGGTCATGCCACTGCACTCCGGCTTGAGCGACAGACCAAGACCCTCTCCATAATAAAGGATGAATCTTGGACACTGCATAATGAAATGCATCCACAACTGGAAGATCTGCCCACTAGACCAGTATTTGCCAAATATGCATGTGATACTATAGTAGCATGCACATATACAAGACCTTTGCAAAATGCAAGACAGACCAGTGTAACAGAAGAAAGCGTATTCAACCATCATTTGTTGGGTTTTGGTGTAATATTGAAGAACCTCCAATTTTGTGAATGGCAATTAAAATACTTCTCCCTTTTCCAATTACATATTTGTGTGGCCAGATGTTCATATTCTAGAACATGTGGCCAGGCACAGTGGTTTATGCCTGTAACCCTAGCACTTTGGTAGGCTGAAGCAGGAGAACTGCTTGAGCATAGGAGTTCAAGACCAGCCTGGACAACAAAGAGACTCTTGTCGCTACAAAAAAAAATTTTTTTTTTTTTTTTTTTTTTTGAGACAGAGGCTCACTCTTGTTACCCAGGCTGGAGTGCAATGGCGCGATCTCGGGTCACCACAACCTCCGCCTCCTGGGTTCAGGGAATTCTTCTGCCTCAGCCTCCTGAGTAGCTGGGATTACGGGCACATGCCACCATGCCCAGCTAATTTTTTGTATTTTTAGTAGAGACGGGGTTTCACCATGTTGGCCAGGATGGTCTCGATCTCTTGAACTCCTTATCCACCCGCCTCGGCCTCCCAAAGTGCTGGGATCACAGGCTTGAGCCACCGCGCCCGGGCTGCAAAAACAATTTTAAGGCGTGGTATGTGCCTGTAGCCTCACCTACTCAGAAGGCTGAGACAGGAGGATCCCTTGAGCCCAGGGGGTTAAGGCTGCAATGACCGAGCTGTTGAATCTGTACGGGTCTGCAGCAGCCTCAATTCTTGCCTCCTTTGAAGAAAGAATTCAACTGAGGGGCTAAGGCAGAAGGAGAGACCAAGGCAAGTTGTAGAGCAGGAGTGAAAGTTTATCAAAAAGCTTTAAGCTGGGTGTGGTGACTCACGCCTGTAATCCTTGCACTTGGAGGCCACGGTGGATGGATCACTTGATGTCAGGAGTTCGAAACTAGCCTGGCCAACATGATAAAACCCCATCTCTACTAAAAATACAAAAAAAAAATTAGCCAGGCATGGTGGTGGAAGCCTGTAATCCCAGCTACTCGGGAGAGTGAGGCAAGAGAATCGCTTGAACTGGGGAGGCAGAGGTTTCAGTGAGCTGAGATAGTGTCACTACACACCAGTCTGGGCAACACAGCAAGACTCCATCTCAAAAAACAAAAAGCTTTAGAGCAGGAAGGAAAGAACAGT